AGGCATGCTTCTGAGCCAATCATCTAGCTATAAATATTAGTTTAAATTGCGGTCGTTTCAAATTCAAATAATTTAAATGTTGCTGGGTATTTCACGTATAAAATCAATCAATTTTATTGACCTAATCAAAATACAGGGCTCCCACACCTCCTAAAACTCATAAAATTCCTAAAATTTTGCTTAAATCTTGAAAACTCCTAAAATTCTCCTTCAATCTCCTAAAACTCCTAAAATCCTAAAAATTAAATTTAAAAAGGCCAACCTGACTGCGTTTAATTAAGGTAGTGCTAAAAAATTCTTTTTTAAAAAGTAATTTAAAAAAATATATATTTAGGTTTAATAATATATTTTATTAAATTCTTTTTAAAATGATATAGTCGTAAGTAATATCATAAGGGCATTTAATTTTTCCGAAAAAAATCGAACAAACACGTTGCTAAGTAATATTTTAACAAAAAGCATGAGTGCTGGTGGCAACAAAAATCCGAGTCGAAGAGGAGGATTTTTGCACCTGCACGAATGCATTTTGTAAAAAAATATTACTTAGCATTGTGACAGTTAACAATTAAAATATAAATTGTAATTTTTGGTGACGACAGCTGTCAAGTTTTGCCGCGGGCACGGTCTTATATATAAGACCGTGGCCGCGGGTAAACTTGAAAAAACTGATGACAGGTGCTGTCACACAGTTTTTTCACCTAGAAACCATTTGTAATTCAAAATTCCGTGTTTGTGATTGGTGGAAATTAAGACGAGGGAAATAGTTTATTTTATCGAAGGTTGAGAGGTACACCTTTTTAATAGTAGCCGAACTGAGTAATCGAACAATTGCATTAAATGGTATAAAAACCTAACCTCAAAGTTTGTATGGGACAATAAGCTTAAGCAACCCCTGTTTCTACGACACTGTGTTCACTCGAACAATTGTAATTATGTGTGAATATGTGTTTTGGTAGTAAGTTATTGTTCGCAAAATATCACCTTTCCAAGTCTACCACAGTAGAAGTTATATTCAAAAAACTGATTCATAAGTAACACTTTATCACCCTGTATCTTTTAAACATACGTACTTAGGAAAAATATTTATTTAGATTTTCGTCTTATTTTGACTTGCTTAATCTGCTCCTAAATTTATGCCACTAAGTTTAGGGACACCTTGTATACAAAAGTAGTAATTTTACCTCACTTTTAATTTTATTAAAAAAAAAACTCGTCGAGCGATTTGGCTAAAAAAAACTAGTCAATATAACTTATTTTTAAAGAAGTATTAATTTATTTTTTTATTTTTTAAGTAGTAAAGAGATGTTTTTATTTAATTAAAGAAATTCATTTCCATACTTTATTTCTCCTAAAATTTTACAAAAAACCTCTTAAATTCCTAAATAAAATTTGGAATTTAGCCGTGGGAGCCCTGGATGAGGCACTGCCTCTCCTGACGGGCCGCCACTGGTAATATATGTAGTATCTGTTTTTTGTCTAAATATTTAAGTTGTATGTAATAAATTTTGTTTTGCCTGAGAAATATAATCCCTACATAATTTTGCTTTTAAGTAGGTATATTTTTAGTTTGTTTATGACAGGATAAGAAAAAGACAGGTCAAATGTTGGAATTCCTAGGGGCGTCTGGCAATATCTGTGACGTAGAGGCAGGGAAAGTTTTCAGCCCAGATGTGTAACGGGTACCTGCGTTCAACAAGAGAGACAGATTTTAACGGGCCGTTGCGAACTGAAGACGTATTTTAATTTTTAACCTTTTTACTATTTTTTATTAATGTGTAATATCATAGTCACTTGTAAATAAAACCGATTTACCATCATTGCTGATTATTTCCCTACAAATTTTGGGGGCTCAACCGGGATACAGCAACGGTTATTCGCGAGTGGAAAGTGATAAGTGAGAAAAACAGTGCAAAATTAAAATTAAAACAACATGGCAGAATCTTTCACGAACGAAACTCCCAAGGCAGAAATGGAGTTGGTGTGCGAAGATATTGCGGATGAGCGAGTAAATAGCATGACGGTTACCGAACTCAAGGAGGAGCTGCGACGACGGCGGCTGCGAGTGACGGGTAACAAACGAGAGCTACGAACTCGTCTTATGGCCGCATTAACGTTGGTGAGAGTTCATGGGGCCCAAGATAATGAAGACGACGACGGCGGCAACGGTGAAGACGACGGCAACGGCGATGACGAAGACGACGGCAACGGCGATGACGAAAACGGCGACAAGAACGGCAGAGTGGTGGAGCACGCAGACGGCGGCCGCCACAACCGCAAGGGCCGAAAGGAAGACGACGACGACGAAGATCAAGAAGACTATGACGATGGCAACAGTAGAAATCGTGCGACGACGCCTACAAGAAGGACACGTCGACGATCGCCATCAAAGCATCGGCTAATTTTTAGAGACGTCGAAGAATCCTTAGAGAAATTTAGCGGCGACAGTCACTCTAATGTTCGACGATGGATTGAGGATTTTGAAGAAATGTCAGAAATGTGCGAATGGTCTGACTTGCAAAAAGTGGCGTACGCTAAAAAATTATTGACGGGGTCAGCCAAATTATTTGTGGCGTACGAGCGCTGTGGAAAGACGTGGAAAAAGCTAAAGAGCGCACTGAAAAATGAATTTGATGTAGAGGTCGACAGTTACCAGGTGCATCAAGAATTAAAGGCCCGAAAAAAGAAAGCCGGTGAGACTCATCAAGAATACATATACAAAATGATGGAGATTGCGGGTCAAGCAGAGGTAGAAAAGCGGGCGGTGATTCAATATATTATTGAGGGTATCGACGATGACGCAACAAACAAGTCCATATTATATGGAGCAACATCTATCAAACAGCTTAAAGAACGGTTTGGCCAGTACGAAAACATGAGAAGAGAAATGCAAGGAAAAGCAAAATCAGCAGAACGAAAAGGCGACGGCAAAAGCTTCCAAAAGAAACCGGCTACAGTGATAGAATACGCGAAGCCGAAAAGGTGTTTCAACTGTGGTGAAACAAACCATATAAGTGCAGACTGTCCGGAAAAACAAAAGGGCGTAAAGTGTTTTAAGTGCAATGAGTTTGGGCATATAGCATCTAAATGTCCCCCGAAATCCGAAGAAACAATCAAAGAAATTAATGTTGTTTCACGGCAGGGTGAGCAAAAGTACATGAAAACGGTACTAATAGGGCAACACAAGTTTGCAGCACTAGTAGATACGGGTAGTGATTTGACATTCATGCGAACGGACGAATATGTGAAAATCGGATCTCCCGCCTTGCGAGATCATAAAGTTAAGTTTGAGGGACTTGGTTCTAGCAGTAACGAAACTTTAGGTGAATTTACGGTAAATGTAAATGTAGATGAAGGAAACTATCCAGTTACGTTTCACGTCGTGGCGGGCGAAATTTTTAAACGGGGATTGCTGCTAGGAACGGATTTTCTAGACAAAGTGGAACTGTGCGTTAAAGGAGGTGACATTACGTTCGCGAAGATAAATAAAACTGACAATAACACGGAAGTGCCGCATATTTATAAAATAAATGTGATCGATGACCTAGCACACGAAGACAAACCTCAGGATCGCGAAAAGCTGAAAAAATTACCTGAGAAAACCTGTAGTGTACGAATAAAGACCGAAATTATTCTGAAAGACGATATTCAAGTGTCGGCCAGGCCGAGAAGATTAGCTCCGTTGGAAAGAAATGAAGACGAGAACGTGCATAAATTAATTGACGCAGCAACACGCGACGCGGACGAAGGTATTTTAATAAAAAAAGAACTTTTAGGTAAAGAAATCAGTGATGATGTGTTAGTAGTAGTGCCAAAGACAAAAGCAGTTAACCATTTTCCGAGACTTACGAATATTAAGACAGTGCAAAGTGTTTTAGGACTAACCGAATATTTTCGTAAGTTTATTCCGCGATACTCGCAAATAGCACGACCGGTAATGGACTTAAAAAAAGAGGCGAACTTTAAGTTCGAAGCGCGCGAAGTGAAAGGTTTTGAAACGTTAAAAACGGCGCTGACGTGTAAACCGATGTTACGATCGTACCGTGTTGACGTCGAGACGGAATTGCATACCGATGCATCGCGATACGGTTACGGGGTAATTTCAATGCAGCGTGACAGTGAAAATAGACAATTTCATCCTGTTGATCAGGCGAACGGGAAGACGACATCGGCCGAAGAAAAATACCCCAGCGCCAATAAAAATCGAAAAAAGGCGACAAAATTCAAGGAGGGCGATTTGGTAGCGATCAAGAGAACGCAATTCGCACCTGGATTGAAATTGCGTTCGAAATTTCTGGGGCCATACAGGATCGTACGAGTAATGCGACACGATCGGTACAGTGTTGCCAAAGTCGGCGAACATGAAGGACCACAGGAGACGTCATCAGCCGCTAGCCAAATTAAATCGTGGGCCAGCTGCGACAACGAAACTGATACCAGCGACGAAGACGCCGAAGACCACCTCTGAGGGCAGAGATTGTTTTGTAGGATGGCCGATTGTAGTATCTGTTTTTTGTCTAAATATTTAAGTTGTATGTAATGAATTTTGTTTTGCCTGAGAAATATAATCCCTACATAATTTTGCTTTTAAGTAGGTATATTTTTAGTTTGTTTATGACAGGATAAGAACAAGACAGGTCAAATGTTGGAATTCCTAGGGGCGTCTGGCAATATCTGTGACGTAGAGGCAGGGAAAGTTTTCAGCCCAGATGTGTAACGGGTACCTGCGTTCAACAAGAGAGACAGATTTTAACGGGCCGTTGCGAACTGAAGACGTATTTTAATTTTTAACCTTTTTACTATTTTTTATTAATGTGTAATATCATAGTCACTTGTAAATAAAACCGATTTACCATCATTGCTGATTATTTCCCTACATATATCTCCTATTTAACACATTAAAAAAAATTAATATTTATTTGTATTTTGTATTTCCGCAAAACGTTGCCTTTTGACCATAGAGCCCTTATTTAAAATAACAAATTTGCGATACTTGCTTTCAGCTTGCGGCTGAAATTTCCTCGACCTCCTCCTTCACCTCGGACACCGACTCGATCTGCTCGATTTCCAACGAAGACTCGACCCCGACGAAAGTCCGCGACATCGTGGGAATCTTCCAGAGCAGCCCGCCGACGACTCGCCCGCAGCAGCAGGACAGCGACCGCGTGGAGAACCTCAGGAACAACCTGAAGAAGACGTTGGAGCGCAGCTTCTCGAGCGGCGCGCGCCCCCTGGAGACCAGCGCCAACGGGAACGTCAAGGACATCGTCGAGAAGTTTCAGCACTACATCAAGCAGGTGCCCAAGTATTGCGAGCCGAAGTTCACCAAGACGGACCCGCTGTTCCATTGCTGCCTGATCGTGCAGAGGTCGCAGGATATCGCTCAAATTAAATACAAGTTTCCTCCTGGGGTAAGTAAAAGTGGGCACAATTGTGTGGAAAGTTCAAATATGATCTATTTTAACACTTTATGTAATTAATGTAATATATTAAAATGAGTGGTTCCTTAGGGTACATAAAGAAGCACATAAAACTTTTTTTTTCTAAATTCTAAAGACTAAAAATAATTTATAATACCTTTATCCTACCAAAAAGTACGCCACTGATCGACTAGGAACTTTAGGCTAATCTGGTTGCCTAATGGTTTACTAATTGGCAAAGCTCCATTTTATATAAAAAATGTGTTACATTTTTAAATGATCTTTTGTGCTTTTATTTATAAAATACAAATTTTTTTATAGAATTTAATTAAAAAAAAATTAAATATTAGACTAATAATAATTATTAGTATAACATACTCAAAGCCTATTTCAGAATGCCTTTAAAAAGACCAAAGCTTATTTTTGAATGTCAAAAACAAATTTTAGAGTGTCAAAATCATATTTAAGAATCTAACAAATAATTTACTATTAATCATTTTACGTTAATAATAGATTAAAGCATATTTAAGAATGTAAAAAAAAATAATTTAATCTAAACCATATTTAAGAAAAATTAAATTACATTAAAATGTCAAAATAACATTTTGGAATGCAGATTTTGTAAAATATTTTGAAAAATTTCAAAAATTTTTATTAATTACCTAGTCAAAGCTCAAAAAGTCAAATTCAAATTTTAGTCATTTAAATGAATGTCAAAACTAGAGATGAAAAATGCTGAAGCATTTATTTTTGGAGAACACAAATTCATCACAAACGAAAATAAACGAGAAAAAACCCGCATAAACGAGAAATTCCCGAAAATTTATTAACAGCATAGCAGAATAAGGCCTTTGTTGTCATTTCATGTTTCATGTTTCTCAATATGTGTTAAAATCTTTTATTATCTCAATACAAAAATACAAAAGTATTAAATAGTTTCTCAACGCCAATATTTGAAAAGTTTATATGAACATTGTACTGACCTTTTAATTTCGCCGGCAGTAAACATAAATTCGGGCACGGACTCCACTGTAAAGTCCTCATAAAACATTTTCTTTACTTTCACTGTGAAAAACTGTCAATTTTCAAGAAATACATTTCGATTTATAACCTTTATATTCTGTGTTTATAAATTAATAAAAATGTGACATTTGACGGTGACACACAGATTCCCCTATTGTTATTCAAATTTTTGATTTAAATCATTTTAAGATAATAATAAGTATTTGTCGTAGAAAAAGTATGGTTGGCACCTCGTTTATAAACTTTTCTATACACTCATTAATTTAAGCACTCGCTCGCAAGCTCGCTCGTGCCTAAATTACATAATATACTATTCTTTATTACAAAAACTCCTTTATTAATGTCACACGTATTTAGGGAATTTTAGCATAATAAATAGCATTACGGATGAATTTTATAAAAGTTCCCGACCAAAAACTAAAAAACACCTGATGTTATTCAACAACCACAATATACTATTATCTACTTGGCTTTAAATTCTTATTTTTGTTCGTCGTAAATAAAGTATAGTATGCAACTCGTTATAAACTTCTCTAGACACTTGTTTTTATTAAACACTCGTTTGCAAGCTTCGCTCGTGCCTAATAAAACTCTAAGTAACTAATTAAAATGACGTTTATAAAACTTGATAAATAATATACTATTCCTAGATATATCTACTTCTAGCTGTGACTTTATATCGTTTTAGTCACGGGCTGAAGTTAGTAACAGTGGCTTTTTAGTCACGGGTTGAAGTTAGCTTTACTATAAATTAAGGAAAAGTGAGGTTAAATCCGTTAAAAGTTGACAGATGTCAAATGTTTAACAAATAAAATTGGCTTTAAATTCTTCATTCATTATTTTACAATTGGGTATTTTTAATGGACCCAACCTACTGTATACTTATTTCGTACACCCTGTATTTAATGTTTACGTTTATTTTCTTAAATCAATTAAATTTAATTCAATGTTAAGTTTTGTTTTTTTGTGGTAAAACACTTTAAAACCCTGATCATAACACAGAATGTTGAAACAGAATTTTAAGTTGTCAAACTAAATTTTAGAGTGTAAAAACATTATATTTTTAGGTGGACGTGCCGTGCAGCATCGAAAAGCTGGTGTTCCCCGAAACGCACATGGTGACGTTGGACAGCACGAGCACCGCGCAAAACTACTCGATGATCCTGACCGACGACAAGGCCGAACGGATGTTCGGCTACTGTCGGCGGGTGATGCCCGAAGGCACGAGCACCTGCCTGCCCCTGGCCTACTGCATCCTGAGCAAGCACCGCTCGCCGCGATTCTACAAGAAAGTGCTCATAGAGCTGGAATCTCGCCACGGATTTCCGGACAAAACGCGCGACGAGCTGATATGCCAGTTCTACCTGCAGTCGTACCCTCTGCCCGGCATGTCGGTGCTTATTGACTTGACGAGGGTTTTGCACCCGCCGCCCTCTACATCTCATAACAACAACCTCGAAGAGTCGCTGGATCTCTCGGGGTTCGTGAACGTGCACAAAACGGGGCAGTACGGCGTGATACAGAAAAAGGGGGATAAAATATTCGTCAGCGAGCACGATGCAGACTGCGTTTTGCCCAGTATTATAACGGAAAACGGCGACAAAGTCGAGTTAGAGTTGACCCTGCATCCTGACAGACGATACGAGGTCACGGATCTAACGAGTCTGCACAGGCTTCCAGACGACGTGATACTAAAAATATTTTCGTCTCTGCTCTTGGAAAGAAAGGTCATCCTCATCAGTACAGTTTTAAGGTAGGTAACTTCATGGTACAAGAAAACCAGGTATGTTCTTCAGTAGGACCAACTTTGGTTCACTTTGCGCACCACCTAGTTACCGCCATTTTACTTCATTCCCGCCTTTCAATTTAAATGATAATTCAAAGTTGAATATTATTCTCTTATAAAATTTATCCAAATTTTTATGAAATTATTCGATTTTTAGATTAAATTGTCAAATAATTTGAAGATCACACGTAAAAAACGATCCAAGTCACAATATTAAGATTTCAAGAAAATACACTGCGCGTCAAAATTAACGCATAATAAGTAGGGATGAGATTTTAGTTATTTTACCTTTTTTCAACTATTGTAACTATTTGAAAACCAATAATGCCAAAATGTGTTTTAAAAGATTTTCTTTTATATGAACCTAACTTGTTTTCACCTTTTTTACATGTTTTTGCTTTAAACTACCTTTTTTATACTTTTGTTACCTATTTTTTTAACTTGTTTTCACCTTTTTTACCTTTTTTGGAAGTTTTTGCTTTAAACTACCTTTTTATACTTTTGTTACATATTTTTTAATTTGTCAGTTTATTTTCACCTATTTGTTATCTATTATTACGTATTTTTACTAATTTCATTTTTTTGTGTTCTTTTTAAATTTTGCCCCAATATTTTATCCAGGGCGTGCAACTCAACGGTATAAAATTTTTTCTTATGGTCACAGACTGTAACAGTAACTTTCTTTACAGTTACCTTCTTTGTAGTGAACTTTTAATGTTTTTTTTTACCTAAATATCCCATCCCTAATAATAAGTAAACAAATTTTAACTCTAAAACGCCTTTATTATTCTTTATGAAATTTTGGATAAAAATACTTCAACTTATATCTCAGTTTACGCGTTCGAGGGTTTTTCGAGAAAATATTTTTAAAGCCCTTTTATTTAATAATAAAAAATTGTTCGAAAAATAACTTTTAGGGTAATAAACTTTGACGCGCAATGTTTTATTAATAAAAAAACTATTTTTTATGGTTTTTCAATCAAATAAAATATTTTGTTTTTATCTAAATACCAACTAAAATAAATGAATAAAGTGCTAAGAAAAATTCAATTTTAGTTTTTAAGTTTTAAATAATAGGTTTTCAAATAAAATATCTTGTTTTAAAGCCATTTATAAGTGAAATGTTTACAATAAAATAAAATATCCTGTTTTAAAGCAAATATAAAGAATGAAATGAAAAGTGTCGAGAAAAATATAAACAACATATTTTTTCTAAATTTTTTTATCACAAAATTGTGTTTACAAATAATTGCAATTAAGGTTTAGTTGCCAAATAAAATCCCTAAATTGGCCACCATGGAGCCAACATTAAATAAAACAAACTAAATTTGTAAAAAATATTATATTATGGTGTGGTATAAGTTGGTTTTCTAATGCTTTTGGTATGTTTCAATCACAGGTTATTTCATTATCAGCAGCATGCAATTTGAGTTTCTGTTATGGACTGTCCTTGAAGATCATTAGCTTCCTTGTCTTGGCACATTTCCTGCACAATGCAAAAAGAAGGATTTAATTTTGTTTTTCAAATTTTATTTTAATTTCTTACACAGCAGTACTTGAGTTTCTGTTATGGGCTGTCTTCAAAGATCATATTATTCTTCCTGGTTTTGTCCTATTTCTTGTACACTGTAAAAAGAACTATGATTTATATTGTTTTTTCCAATTTTATTTTAATTTCTTACAAAGTATTTGATTTCTCTTGATAGATCAGCTGTTAAGTGTAAAGTTGGAGCCACATCCACTTTTAAAGATTTTTTTTATGGGAATGTAGTTTGTATGTTTTTTTGATCCATTTTTCCTTCTTATATCAACTATTTTCGGAGTAAATGCTACAAAACAAACAAAAATATTAACACAGATAATCTTTGTATACAAAAGGAAAGTACCTCTAAAAAACGACTTCTATTTAATTGTTTTTAAAATAAATCTACTAAGCTTAACATTAATTTTTTCAAGTCTATACTAAGAAAATGTATTGGATTTCCGGGCTTTTTTCTTTTGGCATTGTTGTTACAGATTTTCACTTAGCAGGTAGACATTTTTTACCCTTGTGGTGGAAACAGATGCGCAAGAACATACCTTGTTTTCTTGTACCAAGGGTTAATTTTTTTATTAAGAACAATCAAATTGACCATTTTTTTTCAGTGATTTGTCATTGACAGTTGACGCGCTTCAAAGTATTTTGTACCCCTTCGAATGGCCTCACACAGTGATACCAGTGCTGCCAGAATCACTATGGCCTGTAGTGGAAAGTCCCACCCCAGTTATTTGCGGATGTTTGTCCAGAGCTGTCGTGGAGGAGCACTTTATCGAAAATGTAAGTTTTATTTTGTTTTAAAGATTTTAGTTTTTTTCTTATAAATATATGAAAAAGATAGTTTGTTTGTTTAATCTTTATTTAAGTTTACTTAAAAATAAGAATATTTGAATTTTTAATAATAGTTTTATAAAAACAAGCAAAAAAGTATAGTAATTGGGCATTTTATATAGTAATTGGACCATGGACCACAGTTATTGGACATACAATTTTTATATAAACATAATAACTTTACATCAAATAACATAAATTGTTAAATATTTTTAAAAGATAAATTGCTGTTTTAGGTAATTTTTTTTTCCTTTTTTTAAATGTCATATAATTCATATATTTCTTTCTCGGATTCCTCATCCCTTTTCTGGATTCTGAAGGTAACTACCAATTCCTTGGTCTGACTTCTGAAATAGTTTGTTGCAAATATCAAGTGTGGTATCTCTAGTTTGTCAAGTATTTTCCGAATTTATTTATTTTGTTGCCATTAGTTTTTTATGTTCTCTATCATGCACTGTATTTAAATCACTGTTATTCTGCAAGATGTCCTGTGACGAAGAAATCAGTATATTACTTACTCTCGAAAAATGAATTAGTCAAAAATGTCATAGCGAAAAAGCAGCCACTAATAATTCTCGTCAACAGCAATTTGTATCCAGGACATTTAGCAGTCAATTCCTATGAAATATTATTCGCTGAATCCGAAAATGTCGTCAAAAGTTATAAAAGTAGAACAGTTTTTGAAATATAATCAATTTTACTTATAATATGGAGTTGACTATATGTATATCAAAAACTGCTTAACTTTTATGGTTTTTGACGGACTTTTCGGATTCAGGGAACAATTTTACAAAAGAATTGGCTGGTAAATGTCCGGAATACAAATAGAGTATGATTTTGGACTTATGTCCAATAATAGAAATTTACTTTTTTTACCAACCAGTAATTGGACACTGGCTATTTTACTCTTTGTTTTCAGAATTAAAATTAAAACGCATTAAAGTGGCAATGTTTAAACCATGAGGAACACATTTATACCACACACTGAACTGTACACGTTTTAGAAATATTTTTTATTGTAATTTAAACACAGCCCTGCTCTTAACAAAAAAACAAAAATCTTACCACCAAAGTAACGTGCGAACTTTTTTGTCCTATATTGGACCCAAAATAAAGTAGTTCTATATTATTACCGACTGAGATAGTTATAATTGTATACAGCGTCATCTAATGATTTTACTTTAAGGTAACTATTTATAGAACTCTTGTTTTTACAGTATTAATGTTAATTGTCCAATAACTATAAAGTTCTAAAACATCATTTTTAACAAGTATAAAAAATAACCCTTAAAGTTTTCATCAAATAAATAACATAAAAACTACACTCAGAGGCAAAATAATCGATCCACATAAATTTTCGATGAATTTCAATCGCAAATAAATGTTTTATTTGATGTCGGATTTAAACGAATATAAAAAAATATTGTAGATAAATTAATGGAGAATCGCTCACATTTAAAAAAATTACAAAAAAATTATGTAGTCACATCTATTCTTACCAAAACTGCCACTGTCATCCTCCATAGGCTATGGATGGACCATAGAAACCTTACTTCTTTGTACAGAAAATATATTGGAAATTGCAATGTTTTTTTTGAAAATCCATATTTTTCACAAAAATAAAAATATCAAGGTGAACCAAAAACAAAACTGTTAAAAATATATGTGATTTGATAATTAAAACTTAATTTAGAACATTATACGGTTTTGCCACTCTACAGAGTGTCTTAAACTTATGGTAAAAAACATATTTTTGTTTAAACCTGTATATTATAAACGTACGTCTATTTTTTAGTAATTTTTTAAAATGTGAGCGATTGTCCATTAATTTATCTACAATATTCTTTAATATTCGTTTAAATCCGACATCAAATAAAAAAGTTATTTGCGATTGAAATTCATCGAAAATTTGTGTGGATCGATTATTTTGCCTGCGAGTGTATAAGTACTGAGTTGTAGGGGATTATAATACTTAGCGTTATTATGATTTAAGGGCATAGTGGTGGACTTGGACAGAGGGGCAATCCTGAAATGCGAGGGCGATGAGGATAAAATCCTGAGCAACAGCATAAAAAAAGCGTGGAAAAAGAGTCTCAGCCAAAGTTCAAGTAAAAAACTGATATTAAACGGCGAAAACCTGGGTAACTCGATGGAGTACACGCGATCAAAGTGCCTGAGCGACGCCTACTTGCAAGTTTTCGCGATGAGCATCTCGCACTACAAAAACCACCTGGAAAACGGCGAATTCCGCGCAAAAGAATTTGTGCAGTGCGGCAAAACGAAAGGGATCAGAAAGTTCTTGGTTTTGTTCACGCAGACTTTTATGTTTAACGAGTTCATATCGACGGCGAGTCCGGAAAAAATTTCCGATTTCGACAGAAGCCTCAAACGGATTATGAACAAATAAGTTGTGTTCTGTTAATATTTATTTATGTTTACCTGTTGTATACTATATTAGTATATTAATGTAAGTTTGTACTGTATATTTTTTTAAATATATTTAATGTTGGAAGAATACCATTGCATTATTTATTTAAGAAACTGGCTTGCCAGATGTATAAATCCATAATTCAGGGGCGGATCCAGAGAAAGATTTTAGGGGGACAAATTAAAAAATTACAAAAATCACAATTGCACAATTGAAAAAAATAATATTAAAAATACATTTTATTGATTGAAATTTAAAGATTTTAAAATGAAAATCGTATTTTTTATTTTTTTACTAGTAAAAAAAATTGGGGTTAAAGTTTTGGTTATGTTGTAAGAAATTTAATTTTAAAAAGGGGATATATTTACATTGTGTTATTTCATGTTTTCCATATTTTTATTTGCAAATTATATTTTTTCTAAAAATCCGCATTAAAAAAAAAAAACAAGCCAAACCCCCGGTTAATTTTAAAATACAAATATTGAGCTTGTTTTTTAATAAAATAATAATAAAAAGCGTTTATCTATTCTTCGTTCATAATGACTTCATTTTAACACCGCTTTTGGTGCTGTAATGAGATACTTTACCCACCCAAAATTTTGATTTTATAGGTTGGCTATACTTTAAACAGCATACTAGTAAAATATTTTGCAAATTGGTTATAATATTTTTATGATTTTTCTAGTACTTACGAGACTTTTCTGGCAATAAATTTTGTTTAACACCAAAGAAAATCCTTTTTTTCTTCTTTAACATTAACAGCCGCCTATTGTAAATAAGTAAATTAAGGACGGCATGGCGAATCGATTTTGACATTAACTGTCAAACCAATTACTGTGATACCAACTACCTAAAGTAAAATTCGACCAAATTAAATATAAGGTATAAAATTAACTTTTTTTATAGACTTTTTGCAAAATAGATAAAATAACTTTTAAAAATATTATTTTTTTCATAAAATTTTGTTTGCCATGGCTCTGCGGTAACTTTTCTAAAATTGTACACTTTTCAAAAAAAACAAAACGGCGAATTCCCATTTAATCTGAAATATGAAAATAATTATATTTTTAAAATTAAACTGGCTTGTTTTTTAATTAAATTACTTCATTTTGTAAATGTTAATCAAGCTTAAAAAACATCTTGAGTCGAAACAAATTGTCCACCAAAATGTTTATTTTTACCATTCACAAGTATACTTGTACCTATAGGTATTCTATATAGAGGCGATTTCAAATTTAAAAATATTCATATTTCACTTCACTTTTGTCTAGGGTTGGGCAGTGTAGTTTTGCAATCATCGATAGAGGGCGAGCATTCAAAAAACACGTTGAATTTGACGTTTTAAAAAATACCGGCCTTTTGGAATTAAATTGCTGAATAACTCAAAGATTGTGAACATTTTAAGTGCATATATTAATTCAAATTGTTAACTTTAAAAATGTCTGATAGAAGAGCGGTAAGTACTTTTTAATTTACCTATTTTAGGCTTACCGGCTTTTTCTCGAAATTCCATTAAAAAACCAGTTTTCAACCTAAATTCCTTATTAAAATGTTATAAATCTTGCAGAGAAGTCGTTCCCCCTACGAAAAGAAAGCGAGTTCATCAAAAGAACGAAAACATAGAAGTTATTCAAGGTAAAAATTTTTAGGTTATTTTTAACGTTTCGGTTATTTAGATAGTTTTTAACGTTTCCTTTAAGCCCGGTCTACAATTGTCGCAGGAGTTATTTTTTACGGCTCACGTAACTTTTTTTGATATACACATATATATATATATATATATATATATGTATATAGACATAATGTAGGTCTTATGCCATTAAAGATAACTACTGTGACAATTGTAAAGTGGGGTTTATTTATTTTCACTGATATTATATATTTAGAAGTCCCAGCGGTTATAGAACATCGCATAGAAGATACAGGTAAAGTTTAATATATCATGTTATACCTACTCGTAGCATCGACTTCTATTATAGTCAAAATGGATCTTCGAGTCACAGGGATAACCCTAAACCTTCAAGGTGTTTGGGTATTTTCGGTTTATCCCATTACACAACTGAAGATGAGTTGTACAACATTCTCAGAAAATTTGGTCCCATTGAAAAAGTACAACTTGTACTTGATGTTAAGGTATATTGAGATATTTTTAATTCTTCAATAAATGAAGTAAAGCAAGCATTTTTGTTGTGATGCTAGTATTTGTTATTGTTTTTATCTAAAGTCTGCCTTTGAATTATTTTTTCTTCTTTCTTAGGGTAGTTTGTTACATTATTGGATTATTGTTAACAATTGTTACATTAAGTTAATAAACAAAAATAAATAAATAAAATCATCAAAATTTTTTTGAGAATTTCTTTAATTTACGCATTTTGTAGTCCGGTAGATCCAGAGGATTTTCTTTTGCGTATTTCGAGAATGTGGAAGACGCTCAAATAGCAAAAAAAGAATGCTCTGGAATGAGAGTTGATGGTAAAACTATTCGAGTGGACTATTCCATAACAGCAAGGGCCCATACCCCCACTCCTGGCGTATACATGGGCAAATCTACAAGGTATTTTGATTACAGGGTCCCAAAAATAACACTATTACCTGAAACGTTTTTTCTAGTTATGAAAGGGCATATTACAGAGGGGAAAGAGTGCCATATAGAGGCTATAGATATTACCAAAGGAGCCCATCTCCATACTACAGGCGCACTCGCCGTTATGAAAGGTCCACCTCTAGAAGCTACTCCCCAAGTAAGTAGAAATACCACAGAGTACAATAATCAAGATCTTGACTTTTTTTGATTATTTGAAAATGAGTAAAATATATCATTTTTATTTATTAATTTCAGGGCGCTAGCTTCGTTTTTTTAAGTATTAATACCCTGCCCATTCCTAGAATGACTCGTTTATTTTTTAACTTATTTTATTTATTTTTTTGTTTTAAAATTTTAAAAACTACCACAGATGTATTTTAGAATATTCCGTTTAGTTTTTTATTCGCAGTTTTATAATCTGTTTTCTTTAAGAGAATATGTTGTGTTTTAACTGTTTTTAACACTTGACTGATTTGTTTATGAGAATTAATAAATGTTTATTTTCGTACTAATATCGTTTTTGTTTCAAAAAGGTTCTATTGAAAATATAGAAGGTGGATAAGTAGAAATTCAAGGTATAATGAAAATGAATTTTATTGAAAATGCAAGTTTAATGAGGTGAAAATTTGATAAAAGATTTAAGAAAAGCGCAAAATCCAGTTGAAAGTTTTAAACATTATTAATAGGCATGAACTCAAGTTTATCAAATTAGCAACTTTTTTACTGAGGGTGAGTAACTAATAAAGATAATAATAATAAATTTCATCAGCTGATGAATTTACAGGTAATACCTACATATATAAATTTTTAACAAATAAAAATAATTAAACAATATGTAACATTTTAAACTAAATAAATGTCCTGTTGGAAACACTAGGTAAAGTTACAGAGATTTATTTAATATGTTGTAATATTATTAATAAAAAGTCAAACAGAAATTATAGAACAACAAAAGGAAAATACAAAATTTAAATTAATTGAAAAACAATAATATTAATTAAATCCAAGAAAAATCTCAATAAAAAATGTGATAAGGTTTAAGTTAAAATGGTAAAAAAATAATGTTGTGATGTCTAACAACAATAAGGGCAAAATGAATTGAAAAATTTGAAGGAAAAAATTAAAACCAGAAAAAATTGAGATAATCTTGGAAACATTCACATATCTGAAAATGGTTTAATTTTATTCATCTTACAATAAGTGTTTAAAAATCTTGCTTTATCAGCTACAGTACTAAGTTTCCAATACTAAAAACTTTTTATTTTGCGTTTTACAAAAAAAACATTCCTCAAAAAAACTCCTGCTTAATTAAAAAATGGCATACTTGGCATATATCCGTGTTCGAATTTAAGTTATAGTTTACTGCCGGCGAAATTAAAAGGTCAGTACAATGTTCATATAAACTTTTCAAATATTGGCGTTGAGAAACTATTTAATATTTTTATATTGAGATAATAAAATAATTTTCACATTTAGTATTATTTTACAAGAAAGGCACTTTATTTTAACGATTGTATGACATTTGACAACTGTCAACTAACTTAAAACTAACTTCAGCCCGTGACTAAAAACCTGTTGCTAACTTCAGCCCGTGATCAAAGCGCCGTAAAGCCACAACTTGTCAATGTGTATTTAAAAGGTCACTTAGTGTCATGGAAACATGTACGATAAAGGGCGTTTTAAAGGTGGGAGTAGAAAAAATAATTTATTTCGTAAAACGCATATTTATACCAATTTTCCACACATATAACAATATAAATAAAAGCATGTTAATTATGCCTCTCAGTGTATTTACATTACATGGTACACTTGAACTACTTGTATGATCTCCTTGAACTACAAACTATTTAAACGCAAAAATATTATGCAATTAAAAATTAATTATTTGTAATTGCATTAAAATCGTTATAAAACATCTCTTTAATATTTCGCATTCTAGTCTAATATTGCATAATATGTTATAATGCGCAAAAGAACTCGTTGCCAACTTCACGGCGTCATAATGAACATATTATGAAAATGACAGTTCTGAGTACACGTGCGCGCCATTCTTAAGCCAAATTAACACGTTTACACACACATCGACAATTTTACGATGTGATTTTAAAGTTTAACATTATTTTGGTGCACACCGAACGTATTAAATAGTGATCTTCGTTGAATTACCCACATAACCTAAAAATGTCCATATTCTCGCAAAACACGAAAACCTCCAGTGTGAGGTCTTCGATCCTTAAAAAGGGGACGAACTTATCGAAGAGATTCAGCGAAATTAACACCCAACCCAAAGTACGATTCGTATTACCGCATTCGAAAAGGGTGCACAACATATTGATCGAAGTCACTAGGACTGGCTCTTCGAGGGACTATGAGAACTTATTGGTGCTTCTAAGAGACGCGGAGCTGTTGGACGACGATTTGTCTTCGTTACTGAAGGAGGCGACGCAATGTATAAGTCTGTTGAACAGAGATTTAAGGCTGTTTGTCGAAGCTATACTCGGTGTGAGATGGGTGGATCGGAACAAAAGTGTAGTCAGCGAATATCAGTCTTTTATTGTTAATTTAATTTCCGCGCATAACTATCACGCGAAGTTTGTTATAGATAAACTAGTTTTTCTTTATATACCAGGTAAAATATTAAAAACTGCTTCAAAATTTAAGGTTATGATAACAATTCTTTTTTCATAGATTCTAGTAAATGTGAATGGCCTGATGGTGTTCCCCTTGACTCTGATTGTTTAAAATTCGTGAATATCCATTATTTGTTAAATATATTATTAGTAGTTGTTCCAATGTGTAAGGAATTATTGTTGCATTCTCTACGACACCATTTCCCTTACCACACTAAGTCTACTCATATACATGAGTGCTACTTGCATAATTTGATATGGACTATGGAATATCAGCCCAGTTTTCGATCAGAAATATTACATCTTATATTTTCCAAGTAAGTAAGAACACTTTTATATCAAATAAAAAGTAATACAAAAACAAGTAGTTTTTGAGTTTTGTTATAATTATTTTTCTTACTACCTCGACTCAAAATACGTTGTTTCGTCCCCGATTCCACGGCAGAAAGTTTACGTTTTATGCATTGGTCAAGCTATACGCGCACACTCTAATAGCGGGAGTAAAAATTTTTTAGTCGTGTGCTTAACATTCAAATTTCGTACTGCCAACATGAGAAACACAAAAATATGACAGTTTTAAACCATAATTTTGCAATTATAACAACAAATAATCAATTTATGTTTTTACTTTTTTACTTTTTATGTTGTTTCATGGTACTTTTATTTGTTATAAAGTAGTAATTTGTTAATTAAAATACAACGTTTTATTTTTACTGTATTGGCACCGCTGAATTCACGGCCTACTGTTATTTATTTATCAAGCTCTTCAAATGAAGATAGGTACATAAATACACATTTAATTTTTTCCTGTATTTTCGGCCGGGTTTTATTTTCGGCTGAGGTAGTAAGAAAAATAGTATACACTACACGGTAATAATGTAATATACTATTTTCAATTAATGTAGACTGGTTATTATGGATGTAAATGCACCAAAAGGGGACATTGAAAAAGCCGCAAATTCAGGCAGTGAAGAGATTTTTCTTATGGATGATGACACTTGTTCGGTAAAAACAAGTTCATCACACAATATTGCGCATACTTTAGATGTATGCTTAGCCAAATTATATAACTACATTATTGAAGAATGCCATTCACCTGCTGGTGAGTTGGATTGGAATAAAACTAAATGTAAGTAGTAGTCATAAAAAAACATAATTCATATTTTTATAATATTTTTTGTAGCTTTGTATCATGATCTAATAACAGTATTTGATAAAGTTATTTTGCCTACTTACAACACCCATCATGTGCAGTTTGTCATGTTTGTGATGTGCAGCCTAAAATCCTCAATAACAGAGGCTTTTTTGAACTACTTATGGAAGAAGGTATGCAACCCCTGTGTTGCTCCAGTTATAAGACAAGCTTCTGTTAATTATATCGCCAGTTTGATCGCCAGAGCTAATTATGTACCCTTTTTGTAAGTATAAATAACTTAGTAATTTTTGGAATTTTTTTTTAGTTTTACTGTGAAATTTACACAAAATGTGTAGTTATTTTTTTATTAATTCTATATTGGAGTTGGTTTTAAAATTTAGAATATTGAACACATATTTAATTTTTAAGATATTACTATAATTAAACATTAGAGATAAATCTTTTTTTTGTCCATCCACACCTTTTAATTAATAAAATTTTCATTACTTTTTGCAATATTTCTTTAATTTAATGTATAGCCTAATAAAAGAAGAATATTTTTGACAATTTTTATTCCAAAATATTATATAATAAATTATCTAATTTTTTTTTTATAAAAACAGTTTTGTAATTTGTCCGTTTCGCGCGCTTGAAATGGCCGAAATATCTGATACAATAACGACCATTTTTGCTTTCAGTCTTAAAACCTAATCTAATATAACACAGTTCAAAACGATTTCCCTCTCATAAATTTTGTTTTTGGTTGTTTCACTGTTAGTCTAGAATGGGTTTTTGGGAAGCCACCAGGTCTAGTAATAACATAACATAAGTGGTTCTGCACTAATGCAAGAATTTTAAGAAATCATACATTTTGAATATTAGAGCTTCACGGAAGATAGCTTCACGGAGGTTAGGATTTCGTATGTTTTTTTTAACATCCCTTTATATATTTGAAATAAGTTATTGTATCTTTTGACAACTAAAATTTTTTAAAAAATACAATTGTACATACATAAAATATTTATAAAAAAAATCCACTTACTGAGATATTACACTTCACGGTGGATAGGTTTTTAAATAGCAAATTAATGAACTTAAATTTTTGAATTATAAAACAGCAACACTCTCATCTGCATATAAATTCTAACTGACCTTCAGGAATCACATGCATCTATAATGCCGTAAACAGGTTTTTGCTTATTTAAAATGATTAAAGCGCCATCTGTTGCATAAAATTTAAAGCAAAAAAAGATTCACGGAGGATAGAATCAATTTTTGTAACACCTACATAAACGGTTATAAATATTTCTTTTAATTTTTAATAATATTTTATATTTGATTCGATTGCTTTGGATGTGTTTAATTTTCTTAGTGAACTGATATTTTTAGTATGCTTTTACTACCTCAGATATTTGAAAACATATAGGTTAACCTAGAAAGAGTAACAGTCACGAAAAATAGGTTTTAGACCTTTAAAACATTGTAGAAAATAATTAAAAATCTGGAACCTGAGCTGTAATATCTACTTACTTATGAAAGATCAAAACACAATAAAAGTGTAGGTCAAACTCATTAAGTTTTATTAAATATCACGGGGTAACACATTTAATTTTCTATTTTGTTATAAAGTTCAATAACACAAAAATTATACTTAAAAAAATAATAATTTAAATTTTTTTGAAATAAAACAAATAATTTCTATTTTTAATTTTTGTTTTTTTTTAATAAAACAACAGATTTGTACATATTTATCTTATATTCAATATATGTTGAAAAAAAATCTTGGTGTTTTAGTTTAACAATTAAACATTGCTTTAAATCTAACCTGTATAAAATTAAATATTTTTAAAATGTAGCTTTAACGGTTGTCCATTTATTTGGCAAATAAAATTTTTTAAAATCTATAGTCTAGCTGTTATATTATGTGTTGAATACCGTGGATAACATTTTATTGGATCGCACTATAAAAAATGACGTCATCTAAAAAAACGCCGATACCCGTCCGGTATTATTTTTGGGGCATTCCACGTTACTCGGTAATTTTTGTCCCGCCCGTCACAATTAAAAATTGTGAGTAAAAACCACAAGTTATAAAATTAATATTTTATAATATTATTTTTATTGTGCTTATAACTTATTAAAAGCATAATAAAACACTATTTTAAAATAAATTTTATAACGTATAGTTTTTACTCACAATTTTTAATTGTGACGGGCGGGACAAAAATCCCCGAGTAACGTGGAATGACCCTTTTTTAAGTCTATTTTCAAAATGTGTAGGAAAAAAATAAAATATTGTCGTACTGTAATCTAAAGACAATCTAAACCAGTTGGGTTTTAAAACGGTCGACCTTATTTCTTGCAGGATGCTGAAGGGAACGCTACAGCAAATGGCGGACTGGGTTCACTCGTACATAGGCACGCAGGACGGCTTGGAGTACATAAACTCTGACGTCAGAGTGCACTCGGTCTTCTACAGCGTGTGCCAGGCCTTATTCTACGTCGTGGTGTTTCGCAAGAAGGACCTGCTGCGAACGAAGAAGGACATCATTTTCCTGGAAAGCATGAACCTGGCCAAGACGGTGACCTGTCGGTTGAACCCCCTGAGGGTCTGCCAGCCGGCGGTGGCGCAAAATTTCGCCGCCCTAACCAGGAAGTATCAGCTGGCGTATTGCTATTCGGTGATGGAGCAAAATTCCAGGAACACCATTCCCACGATATACCAGGACGAGAAAGGCGCGATCGTCATGTCCAATAACGTTTTGGACGCTTTTTATCCCTTCGACCCGTATGTTTTAGAAAGGTAAGTTTAATTATTAGTTGAAATTTGCCGTTTGATTTACGACGTAACGAAAATTAAAAATAAATAATACATCATAATCTACCAAGTGGTAGAAAGTTCCCACATAAAATTTTTGAAAAAAACTTTATTGACAATTTTTGATTAAAAAAATGTAGCATTTGATTTAAAAATTATTTTCTTGAAGACTATTTATAAAAAATTAATAAAAATTAGTGAAAATGATAAAAAATAATTGCAATATTAATATTAATAATAAAATTTTCAAAAACCTGCTATTATTTTTTTTGCGTACTTTTTTATTCTTTTTTTTTATTTAAAAAAATGCTAATTTGGCCCTGTTCTCCCTAAGAAAATTTAATAAAATAGGAGGTTAAAGAATCTCTGAAAGCTAAAGATTAAGGAACCGTTTAATTTAAATTGTTTAAGCAATTTTGTGATTGCTCCTTGACTTGATAATAAAATTTATTTAATATTGTTCAGAGCAAGTTAACAGGCTCATCTTTGCGTACGAAATATTTAACAAAAAAATATTGATTAAACTTTAAACTTTCTTCTTACTTTTTTTCCGTTATTACACTTTTAACCAAAACTGTGTATATATACATTGATCCCCTTTTTTTAATTTTTTGCCTTATCAATTTTCCGCTATCATAATTGCTTTACCAAAAAATGTTATCAAAAAGCGACACTATTTTTAATACCTATTACATTGATTTTTTATCATGTACAGGGTGTTATGTAATTAATGTAATATATTAAAATACTGAATACCTTTTGACATAAGGAGTAAAGGAAAAATATTTAAAAAAAATTTCCAAAGATAAAAAAAAAATATGCATTAGAAGTTTTTTATATTTTTTGTGATACGCCACTGGTTACACACTTGGTTTATCTCTGCACACTTGTGTTCTGTGAGTACATACTAAAGCTACGTTTACACTTTGTAATTTAATCATTATCGACTTACATTTAAATGTAAAGTTATAAATTTTGTCTTAAAATGTATCAATTTAAAATTGTTAAAAATAAAAGTTATTGGTTTAAATTTGTAAAGAGTCATTTAAATGATAGTCGATAAAATTTTAATGCAAAAATTACAACTTTAAAATTTAAAACTAACTTATTACCTCCAATAGGCAGAAATTATTTTCTGTACACGTGTATCTGGATGTTAAATAAAATAAATAAAATAAAATTTAAATGTAATTTTAAAATTTTTGTATCAAAAATGTATCGACTATCATTTAAATGACTCTTTACATATTCAAACAAATAATTTTAAAGAATAAAATATTAAAATTCCATTTTTTTTAAATTAATATTTTTAAACTTAAACTTTTACAATTGCATTTTATATTTAAAATATTTTTAGATTATCAATAGTTTTGAGTTTACAAAAATTTAACTTTTTAAACTATTTTGGTAGAAATTGTTTTATATGTGTTTTTATTTTAAATGGCTTGATACTATTTTTAAATACTAAAAAATTTAACTTTACCAAATTAATCTCAATAATTTTATAAAATATTTATTTAAGTGTAACGAAATTTGAGACGCCCCCCAAATAAATTATACTTTATTAAAAAATGATAGTTTTGCAAAAATTGATAGAAAATAATATTGTTTAATACAGAAGTGAACTATTGGTTAGTAAATTTTGTCTTTCAATACATGATAGTTGAAAATATTATAAATTTATAAATGTAAACCTAAAATTTTTAGTAAGGCAAATTTTAAACCAATAAAAATTTAAATTATAGTAATAACAGTTTAAACAAAAACTGTCATTTGAGAAAAGTCTAAAGAAAATATTCTGGTAATTTTTATTGTTGTTAATACTAGCTTTTTTCACCTATTATTTTTTCCCATTTTCTTAGGGAGAACAGGGCCAAATTACCATTTTTTTATTAAAAAAGAAAAAAAAGTAACCAAAAAACATAATGGCAGGTTTTTGAAAATTTTATTGTTAATTGCATTTATTTTTTACCATTCTCAAAAATTTTCATTTTTTATGAATAGTTTACAAAAAATCAAATGCTACAGATTTTTTTAATCATGGATTGTAAATATATGAATGAATATTTTTTCAAAAAAAAAATTTGTGGTAACTTTCCACAACTTATTAGTTTTAGTAGATTATTAAATAATATTTATTTTTAATTTTCATGACGTCGAAAATCGCGGGATCATTTGGCAAATTTTTACTCAACTAAATAATTTCACAACCTTTCAGATCAAGTCAGAAAATTCAACTCTTGTACCGCGAATACAAAGAAAAGCGGAAGCAACGCAGGGAGACGGAACAAATGGAAATCACGGAAGCGGAAGTGGACGATTTTCTCTACCAGGAAAATCCGCACTCATCCTCGTACAAATTTTCCTACGGGAGTTCCCCAGGGTTCAAATTTAAAGGTTAACAAATCTTTGAAGTTGGACTGATGATAACTCTGTGATTTTATTTTTTTGTAATTGTTGAATGATATGGGAGGAAATAAAAAGATATTAAATTATTATTTTTGCGTTTTATTGAAAAAAATAATTATTAATTAATATAGAGAGAGTTGTTGATCTCTGTACATGAAATTGCTACAAATATCGATCTTGGGACTTGACCCGGCGATGGTTAAAATTTTCGAGGGTGAATCTTGATGCATGGCGCTGTAAGTTGTAACAGATGATGTGGGGATTTCGGTGATCATGTCCCCGACAAAATTCATGTGGTAAAACAGTCGGCTTCTGCCTCCAGCCAAAATTTTGTCATCGTAAATTTCGGCCACATGAATGCCCTGATCATCAATTGGGTACACAGTGAAGTTGGATAGGAATCTGTAATGCCAAAGGGATAACCTCACACCCCCACCACAAAGCTAAAATATTAATCTATCATTAATACATTGAATAATGCATAAAAAAATTCACTTACAATGTAATCTTCATTGGCGCTTACAGCTCCTATCCAGTTGCCTAAATTGGGTCTGGCTACTTTACTATCAGTGCTGGGTTCAATTTTATGGACCACTTTAGTTGTTTTTAGGTCCCAAATATTCATCAAACCATCTTCACCCCCTGAGACAAGCTCATTATTACTAAAAATAAAAATTAATATAATTTTGCAACATTTAGCACTTTTTGCCAATATGGGAAAAGTATCAAAGATAAATTTTCCCACATAACACAATATGTTGTAAAAATGTTTGGAGGATAATACATATAAATGAAAAGTTGATGAAATGTTATACCAACATTCAGGGAAAATATTTCTTTAACTGTAAATATTTCTGAAACATTCATAAATATCACGTAAATATTTTTCAACATTTATTTCGCAATTTTATGTAAATATTATTTCCTAAATATTGTTAATTTATTTAACAATATAAATTTTGCGATGAACCACGAATTTAGCCAACTTGGGACTTTTGGTAAAAGTTGTTCATATTATCAACTTCAAACGAAAAAATATGAAGTAAAAAAACGTGGCAATGTCAAAATTTTGACCTCAATTTTTTTGCCTTTTTTAGAAAAACAATTAAAAAAAATTAGTGAATTCACTTAACTTTTTTTTTTTTGTATTTAGAGTATTTCCATTGTAACAGTTGCGACACTGACACTGCGTTTTTTCATGATAAAAGTGTTTATTCATCTATATCAAGATACGTTAATATACAAAAATAGTATAAAAAATTAGATATTTAACTCAAACAAAATGTCAATAAAAACTTGTATAGAAAACATTCTCAATGTACTTCAGATATAGTTTTTATTTTGTTAAATAACACATCTGATTTTTTGTCAATGTGGGGTAAGGTTTCGTGGAAATACGCTTTACATACAATTTAGAAAAAAAATTGTAACGGTCGAAAAAATTTTCGCCAAGTTATAAAATGTCACTGTTAAAAGAAAAAAAATCGATATTTCTGTCCACTTTTCAAAAATATCCCAAAGGTTTTAAAATAAACTAGTTTTTTTAAATATTTTTTATTAAAACGTGTACTTAATTTTCTCCAGCTAGGTATTCCACTGTTTTAGTATATCTAATATGAGAATACCATACCACATCTGCTTTTTTGCAAAAAAGAAAATTCAGTAGGTACACAAAAAGTGTCACACTGCTTTTATAAATGTAAAAGCAACATTTTATCAACAATTACAACAACAATTTTAAAATAAATAAGCAATGAACTGTAAATATTCTAAAAATATTTTTAGATATTTTTGTGATGTTGAGGAAACAAGGTAATGTACCTTTATAAAACATTTACAAAATGTAAAAAAATATTGTATAAATATAAAAAGTGAGACATCTAAATGTTGTAAAAACATTGTAGAGGCATTTAAATGATAATGACTAGTATTTCTAAAATATTTAGTTCATTTAGCAAAAATATTCATTCAATATTTTAAATATATTTTTGTGTTATGTAGAAAGTTTATGAGTCAACAGAAAAAGTCGTGGAGAGAATTTTAAACTGTTAAACCAAAGAAAAAAACGCCCAAAATCACACAAAAGTTTTTTTTACTAAAAAACTAAATTTAAGGCTAAACTAAATTTAAGGCTAAACTAAATTTAAGGATATATCATATTCTGTTGAGACCTAATTATAGTAATAACATGTCCTGTTTTATGTTTAAATTTAAATAGTAAAGTTCATTCAATCATAAAAAAATTTAAAAAGTGATGACGTTACTGAGGATTGAACTCTGTTAATTTTATTATAAGAACAAAGCAAAATGTAAAAATATATATTTTAATTAAAAAAAAGAAAAAAAACTTGGCCCACTATTGAACTTGCGCCATTAAACGCAGAATAAAAAAAAAGAAAAGAAAAAATAAATGAACAAAAAATTAATGTTTTTTTCTTCTGAAAAACTAGGAAACTTCAAATAAAATGATAAATATTTTGTTTGTATTTTTTCCAAAATACGATTAATTAAAAAAAATCCTATTTAGATTTTAAAGTTATGAGCACAATTTTCTATTTCCTAAATTTTTTGTTTGGTTTTTTAACATTTAAAAAAATCACATCTACACTAAAGTACCTATAGAATCTATACTAGTAAACTTACATTGTGCTTATGGCATGAATATATCCCTTATGCTTATCCAGAGTTTTCAATAACTTCCTCGTCTCCAAATCAAAAACATAAATATTATTATCTCCACATCCAGCATACAACTGACCATTCTCCTCATTCAAAATCATGCAATTGACATCTGTTTTATTGAAACCATCTTTATTTTCCGGCAATTCTATCGTCCATGCCTGCGTAAACTTATTTGCCTTCAAATTCCTCCATGTGTACCCAATAACCTCACCTACGCACCCGACAATCAAATGAGTTTGTGTTGAGAGCAAACTGTTTATTTGCAGGTCTTCTTTTACAGTGTGGCAAAATTTCGGAGTTAACTCTTCTTTGCTTAAATTGTTTTCACTGTTTAAAATCTTCTTCAACCTTAAAAATAAATAATATAACCTCTTTTTACATTACATTTTGTTACTCACAAAAAAATGTGTATTGCGCCGAAAATATCGCCCACAACCAGCAAATTTCCGCACGGGCTGAAAGCTTGGCTCAAAACTGTGTTGTAAAAGTTTTTATTCAAAGAGTTTACCATTTTTTCGCACAATTTATGAATTTTGCCAAAAAATAGGGTTAGAATAAACATGCATGAATTTAGCAACGCATTGTTGGTGCTTCTGTATTTGTTGTAAATGTCACTGAATGTGGCAACGTCGCAGCAATGTCTTTGTTCAAGTGGCGTTATTTAAGTGATTCGCGTTGTGAAATTGGGAACTTAAACGATTAATTGCACGCGTGGAACAAATATAGTACATTTAAACTACGATTAGCGACGTTGTCGTATTACCATAATAAATGGTTGTCATTTGGGAATTTTGTTAGGTTAGCTTTTGTGCGATTTTAAACGTTTTAATTCATATATGTATAAAGATGGAAGAACCGAAGAAAATATCCTTTGGATTTAGTAAATTAACAAAGAAACTATCGGTGTTTTCAAAACCTCCAGTTTTGAATAAAAAAGTTGAGCTTATAGACTGCTTGGAAGGGCAATCTATAAAAATTAAAGAGTAAGCAGAAATATTTGTGTTTATTGATTATTAAACTTACAAAACATATTTTTAGTGCTGTGGAGGAGGTTTATCAACCGTTGGTTATTCCTATAAAAGACAATAAAAAAAATTTACTCGATAGAATAAAAGATGCCAGAGAAAAACAAAATGAACTTACGAGAAAGGACAAAAATAAGGAAGTAATTGATAACAGGCCAGACTCAGAGTTAACTATAGAAGAATTGGCTGCTAGAGAACTAATTAAAGGTAAAATAAATTAAATCAGATTGTATTGTTTTACTTTTAAATATTTTAGAGGCAAAAAATAGACTGGAACAATCAGTACACACCACAACTAAAATTCTGGTATTGCCAGCTGTCGAGGAAAAACCCTCTTTTGATGGCGAAAAGGAAGCAACGCTAGAGGATTACGAAAATATTCCTATAAATGATTTTGGATTGGCAATGCTGAGAGGCATGGGCTGGTCTGAGAGTTCAGGGATTGGCAAAAACCCCACAAAGTAAGTACAAATATACAGTTTAAAAATAATGAGCATGATTTTTATATCCAATGAAAAAAATACTATTGTAGATATAATTTTTTACTTTTAGGAATGCTTTGCTAAGTGCCCCTGAATTACGTCCTAAAGGGCTAGGACTGGGAGCCAGCAAGCAAGTTTTATCAGAAAAACCCAAGGGTGCAGTCGATAAAGAAGGCAAAGAGTTGATTATTAAAAAAGGGGCTTATGCTAAAATCATAGCAGGCGCAAACAAAGGCAATTACTGTGAAGTACAAGGTCTTCACGATGAAGCCGGTCGTGTTATTGTAAAAACTTCTTTGAAAAAGGAAATTTTAAATGTAAATGAGTTTCTTATTGTAGCTGTAACCAGTGAGGAGTACGCAAAGGGATCAAAAGTTATCAGTGAGTTAAATAATCTTTATGTTTGTACTTTTTAGTATATTAGAATATATCTTGTAGATAATGCCAAGTATGAAGAGTACAAGGAAAAAATGGAAGAACAAAAAAACAAAAAGGATGAATATTCAGAAAAAAAAGTAAAAGAGCACAAAAACAGTAAAACCATGGTAAAAAAAGAAAATCAACAAGACAAAGTTTACGAAATTAGTTCTGATGAAGATGAAGACTACAGCTCTAAATCAAAAGCAAGTTCTTCAAAAAGACAAGGCAGTTCTACAAGAAAAGACAAGTATAGCAAATCCAGTTCACACAGAAGAAGCAGAAGTTTAAGCATGGAAAAATCAAAGTCTTCAAAAAAAACTGAAGATAGAGGAAGAAGAAGAGAACAGAGAAGCGTTTCGGAAGATGAAAGAAAGGAAAAAGGAAGATCGCGTAGAAGTAGGTCGAGATCTCGCGATAGAAAACAGAAAAAATCAAAGCACAAGAAGAAGTCACACAGATCTTCATCTTCTTCCGATTCTGAGGATTATGATAAAAAGAAAAAGAAGAAAAGCAAACACAAGTCAAAATCAAAGTACAGAGATGAGAGTTCTGGTTCTGATAGGAGTCATCATAGAAAGGATAGAAAAGGAAAAAGATAGTTTACCTAGGTATTTAATTAAAAAAATATTATTTTTTAACGAATTTATTTATTAAGTCAGCTATAAACATTAAATTTCCCATTTGAAACTCTTATTTTATTTCTGAAAATTATTTTTCAGTTATTACCCTGTAATTTTTCATTATTATATTATTATGAATAAAAATAACAAAAGGTAAATAAAACCGACCGACATGAGACAGGATTGACATCAAGTAGGTAGGAGAAACTCGCACAGTAGGATAAATTAAAAAAATAGCAGGACAAATTCGCACAGTAGTAATTTCGCAAATTAAAAATTAAAAAATGTTTGATAATTTTTAGTTTTAATAATTTCCACTCACTAATATTAATTTTTTATTGCATTTTTTAAAATTAAATTTGTATTTACCAACTGAAACATTTACATATAGGTATGTAATATTTATAAATAGTTAAATGAATAAAAAAACAAAACATTTGTTGACCACATACCTTAAAAATCTGTATAAATAGAAGGATGAAAAAGAGACATCAAAATATAAATAACATGTTTACATTTGGAAAGTATGCACTATATACAGGGTGGTTGAGAATTATAACAGTAGGAAAAATATCTTCGCCTAACTTTTCGTTTTGCGTTAAAATTTACCTCGAATTTACTAACCAAATATTGTTTTACTCTTTTGCAAAAATGTGCTTTTGACAAAAACATTTTGAGGAAATCTCATCCATTTTGTAAATTAAACCCAAAATATAAAAAACATGGACCAAGGTAAAATATACAAGGTGATTCATTTAAGGTTTATAGAAAAGTAAATAAATTAAGTCATTTTTGTTTCACTTTGGCATTTCTGTATACAATAATACATCCGTAACGGATGATCTGTTACTATGGAGAAGGTAAATAAATGGAGTGAAATTGTCCAAGATAATTTTCAAACCGAAACTTTACTTTGTTGCCTTTTCAATTCAATAATTAAAATAAACGACATAAAATGTTAAATAATGTTTTTTTTTACATAAAATACATTATAATTTAAGTTTTAGTATTTATAATCGCTAGGTTAAATATTATCTATTTGACGTATTTCCAATAAACAGTGTTAATCCGAATGAAGAAATAAATTTCATACAGCCCCTGTAAATATAAATTTTATCTATTAGATACAATAAATACAAATTTTAGTAATGATTAACGTGAAAAGTGTAAACATTTCAATTCAGTAATAATCGTCAAACAAATAAGTCGTCTAAATTTAAACCACATTTAGCTTTATTAAAAGCGTTGATTAAGAATTCTTTAAAGTCTCCACTTAACGGCAAAATACCATTATATTATGTATTATATATTATATTTTGTTGCCATGAATTTGTAGGTATATTTTGTTATTTAAAATGCAGTGGTCGGCGTTTTTTAGAGAACTCAAATATAAAAATGGTTGATTCTAAGGTTATGTTTGTGCAAAAATTATTTTTTACTAATTTCTTAAAAATGTCCAAACTTAAATATAAATTATATTAGGTAAATTTATCATTAGTTAATTCTGCACCAACAAATGTACTTACCGAATTGGATCCTTTGGCAAAACATGAAAATGCAACGATTTAGTTCTTGAATTTTATTTACAATTAAAAACGCAATAATTCACCATGATCCCTTAGATAAAATACACACACTAACGTAACTATATAAGCATTTAAGCGTTGAGTTTCTTAATCAATGATATAAAGAATAATCAATCGAAATCGAGTACTAAACCAGTTTTTTAGTTTTTTCCTTGCAACGTAAAATACAAAATTTGTCGAGTAAGACTTCTGCCTACCTCTATTTTGTGAAAAAAGTACCTATTTATTTAAAAGTGATGTACAGTTCGTTTGCTTTAAATGTATTGTTGAAAATTCTTTAATTCACGCAATGCTTTTTAAGTCCACCAATTACTTAGTTAAACCATGTTAGAAAAAAGTGTAATTATTCAAATTTTAATAATAGTGGAACAAATTCGCACCGTAGAATAAAATTAAAGAATAGTGGAAAAAATTCGCACAGTGGGGTAAATATAAAAAAATGGTAGGACAAATCTACACAGTGGGATAAATTTAAAAAAAATATGGGACAAATTCGCACAGTGGGATAAATTTAAATTTATTCAGATTTTAATTAGAATTTTTACAATTTCCAGAATATTTAAACATTTCAAAAATAAGAATATTTACTTTAACCTTAAATTTTTTTAAAATTTGTATGGTATTATGTTTTTAATCACACCTTTATTAATTGTATTTCATATCTTTCTTCGATCATTTTATAGTTTTTCCTACTTACTTACCTTAATTATTTGCAAAATTATAAATTAATATGTTATTATGCAAGGTACATATAGCTGAATAACCAAAATCCACCAGACATCACTGATTACTTATAATCATCCTGTATAATAACGATATAATGTCGACCGGTGCAATTGCGCTAATCACTGGTAATAATAAATTTAAATACCCCGTCGCACCGCTGAATTCGACTAAACGCCTCACGAGAACCGTTCTAAAAGTCGAAATAGAATATAGTGTGATAAACAAAATAAAAATAAATCACTTTCTTCGCACGCCGCAGTATAAGTGCCAGCTTGCGAAAAAACCGACACAATTTGGCATGGATTTTATTTAAAACTGTTCCGAACATCATTCACAAGTCGAAGCGAGTTGACAGCATCATTGTTTCACTGTTTTGATTGTACTTCCTGTACTTCTATCTATATGCAGAGGTAAGTCGGACTTTTTAACGCTTATCAATGGCAGTGCAGTAAACCGCTTTTTTCGAGTGAGCATGTTCGTGTGTTTGGTACGTCGGCTGTGTCTTCTATAAATTACTTACTAAGCTAGGTTTGTTTAAGCTATTTAGAACACGTTAACTTGATTTATAACGCTGGTCCCGAATTACCTCTGGAGATTTAAATTTTGTGTTGTTAATTTTTTTGTATTGCCTGCGGTTTTTTCTTTAAGTTTAATTCATAAAGTATTTTAAGAATTATTTTTTCACAACACATAAATAAAACTTGGTTCTAAATTTAAATAAATAAATTGATCTTGGTCAAAGGCGAATAAAAAATCTATTTATACAGTGTATAGTTCCAATAAATATAATCAAAATAGTTCTTTTTTTCCATTTAAATTATACGGGGTGTCATAAATTGCCCTTGATATAAAAACATTACATTACAGTACATTCAAACGTCAAAAATTCGTGGGTTTAGTTGTTAAATTCTAGGGACCCTAAATTTATAATTGGTTACATTGAGCAGAACAAACAAATAGTTTAGTGAAGAATATTATTGTGGTTATGTTATAAATATAAATATATGTTCAATAAAAAATATAGGTAGTGTTAATATAAAAATATAACAGACTTAAAACAGAAATATTTCCTTATAAAAATTATGTTTTACATTTTAAATTATGTATTACATTTTTTGTTCGGAATTTTTGACAGATTAACTGTAGGTACAATGGGGCAAATGTTGTTTTTAATTTTTTAAGAGTAGATAGTATTTAATATTTCTTATACCAAAGAAACTACCAAAAAGCTTATTATAAGTCTAGGGTTTTAACATTTTTTTCCGGAAAAATTGGGAAATTTTCAGAAAAATTGACATTTTTTTATTTTATTCAAAGGTTAATACGAAAAAATGCAAAATTTTGTTTGTAAATTTTTACATATTCAGAGAGCTCTGTATTAACATAAATTTCGTTTTATTTGGCACTTCGATTTAGAAAATTATAATTTTGTAATTTAACTTTATATTGGATATTTTCAATAGACTTTTTTTTAGATATTTTTTTTAAATTAAAATAATGTTAAGTTGTTGATTGCCACTTTTTTTAAATTAATATATATATATATATATATATATATATATCACAAAAAAAATCAATTTTTCTCAAAAAAAAAAAAAAAAAAAATTCCAAGGCCTGGGAAAAAAAACAAAAAAAAAACAGGGGGAATTATATTTGATTTGATTATAGTCGATTTAAATTTTTTTTACTAATTTGTTGATGCCTAATATGTAGTATACTTCAGATTATTAGAGACGGACGTTTTATAAATAAAAAAAACAAAATTTGTCAATAATAATAATAATAACACTCATATGCCCATATAGAAAGACTTCATAATTAATAATAATTAAATAAAAGTCAAATTATTATAACCGCTGTACAATAATGAAAATACATTGAAATTACATAGGAAGAGTGGCTCCATCTATCGCGTTTAGTTCGAAATCAGCAATGACAACGTAAACAGGTCACTGTAAAATAAATTTATGACATAACCTATAATATTCGGTTTAATTAGAAAAAAGTTGCGTAATTACAAGTCATTTAAAAATTGGAAACAAAATCTCAAAACACTCAAAGAAAACCTGTCAAACACAAAAATCGGCAATTTTGAAAAAATAAGGTTTTTCGTTTTTTTTAATGGTAGATTTTGAACAAAATAAGGTTTTTCGTTTTTTTAATATTTTCAGAATTGCTGGCTTTTTAAATTTATAAATTGAGGTTGTAGTTTTTCCAAAAAAATCCATAGAAGTATACAGTATTCTCCTTCACCCTGTATATTAAAAATTTTAATGTGATAATAAAACTTGATGGTTTTTGTTAAATTTGTATTTCAATAATTCGTAGTAGCTTTTACAAAAAAAATAAGTAAGGTGCTAAAAATAATTAAAAATTGTAGGTACCAGATATGCCTTAGATAGAGAACATTGTTATTCATTTTGGTGCATTCCAAATGTGTGTGTAATTGGGATTTTTTTTATTCATGCAGTATTTTTAAGATAACCAACAAAAAGACAAAAATCGCTAATTATAAACACATTTAGAATTCAGCGGAACAAATATGCATATTTGTAAGAAAATCTCGAAAAATTTAACTTATTTTCTGCTACAAATTATTATAATTAATTTTTCATTGGCATAGATATATAAATTTACAATTAAAAAACGCTATAGTTGTACACCCATGGTAGCAAACAAATAGTATATATTTTTTATTTTGCACAAAAATTAACTTAGCGTCATCCAAACGATTAAAACTGAGTATATTTCCATGCAACGCGATTAAAATTGAAACGAAAAGAATTTAACCTTTTCTCGTTAAGATTAATTAAAACTTATTGAAAACAAAGCATAAATGGGTGACGTTTGGATTTTTCTGGTCTTTTGCCGTTTAAATGTTTTAGTGAACACATGAGTATGGCGGGCAAGTATTACTTCAATTATTTTTTATTGTTATGTTATGTACCTATACATAGATTCGACCGTTGAAATCTGGATGGTGTCAATAAGTTTTGGTAATATGATGTGATTCTCACGAGAAAAAGACATTTTTCTTAACGGTGTCTGTCACGAAACAAGGCCGTCTAATTTTAAAACGTGGCATGCGTTAACTCTTGAAATGTATAATTGTTTTTTGAAAATTGTTTTAATTTAATTAGGTGTGCAAATAGTAACGCAATAATTCAACATCACGTGATAGAGAAGAACGTTTGCACATATTAATTTAATTTTCTGATACCGGCGCATCCGCCATTTTTGAAAATAACTCGAATTACAAGATAATTTAACAAAATTTGTTGTAATATGAAATTTGATTTTTAAACATTAGGTAAGAGTAAAAAGTAATGAATTGCATTTTTTTATCTTATTCTTAACAAAATGCTGACAATCAGATATAAGAGCTTTTTTCTTTAGAAGTTTGTAATATAATCATTATATACAAAAAATACGAGGGATATAAGAGCTTTTTTCTTTAGTTTGTAATATACAGGGTGGTTTGTTAATAATGGGACACATTAAAAGTAGCCTTCTGAAGTCAAAATATGACAAGTTGTATTATTTTTACCACATTGGCACCGCTGAATTTGCTGTCACGGCCTACTGTCATTTATTTATCAAAATCTTCAAATGGAAATACTACCCTAATTAAAGTCAATTTTATTTAGTATTTTATCTGACATCTGACAACTGTCAAGCAGTTTTAACCTCACATTTATTAATTTAATATCTATTAACCTTACGGTTTTCAAACTTTAACTTTAAGCTAACGTGTATAATAGTATATTTATTATTTATATTTATATTTATCTATTTTGCGTTCATAATGACTTCATTATAACACCGCTTTCGGTGCTGAAATGAGATACTTTATTCCACCCAAAATTTTGATTTTATAGGTTGGCTATACTTTAAACAGCATAATATTTTGCATATTGGTTATAATATTTTTATGATTTTACTTACGAGACTTTTCTTGCAAGAAATTTTGTTTAACACCAAAAAACCTTTTTTTCTTCTTTAACATTAACAGCCTCTTATTGTAAATAAGTAAATTAAGGACGGCATGGCGAATCGATTTTGACATAAACTGTCAAACCAATGACTGTGATTCCAACTATCTAAAGTAAAATTCGACCAAATTAAATTTAAGGTATAAAATTATTTTTTTTTATGGAATTTTTGCAAAATAGATAAAATATACTATTAAACTCCCGTACGTATCAGGAGATCACGAAGTCGATGCCCTCACCCGCACAGTGGTACAAAATTAAAAAATGTTGGGAAAAATTCGGTAACGTGAATTTTAAAAATGATGGAAAAAATTCGCACAGAAGGATAAATTACAAAAATTATAGGACAAATTGGCACAGTGGCATAAATTTTAAAAATGGTGGGATAAATTTGGTAAGATTTTTTAAAATTTTCACATTTTTTAAAATTTTCAGAATTTTTTAATTTGTCATGTTTTAATTTTCTAAAACTTTTACATTTTCCAAAATACCAACATTTTTAAGTTTTTTTGTAATTTTTTGAAACATTTAATACCTTACTTTTGTATTGAGATAATTAAATATTTTTCACATTTAGTATTATTTTACAAGAAGGGCACTTTATTTTAACGAGTGTATGACATTTGATAACTTAAAACTAACTTCAGCCCGTGACTAAAACGCCATAAGCCACAACTTGCCAATGTGTATTTAAAAGGTCTCTTAGTGTCAAGGAACTCTACGATAATGGACGTTTTAAAGGTGGAACTAGAAAAAATAATTTATCTCTTCCCACAAACGACAAGCTGTGTCTTTATGGCGTTTTAGTCACGGACCGAAGTTACAAATAGTGGCTTTTGGGTTTTTATTAAATACTCGCTTGCAATCTTCGCTCGTGCTTAATACAACTCGTAACTAAAATGGCGTATATAAAAAATAATACATAATATACTATTATACACTCCCCCATTAATAAGCTGAGACTTTATAGCGTTTTAGTTACGGAAAAAATGTGAGGTTAATTCGGTTGGCAGATGTCAAAGTGTAAACAAATAAATGCGTAAATAATTTATTAATAAAAGACTGATTTACGATTCAAACATTTTCTTAAAATAATATTTAGATTGATGTATTTTTCGATTTTTTATCGGTTTTCCAATAAACAGTGTTAATCCGAATGAAGAAATAAATATCATACAGTTTCTGTAAATATAAATTGAATCTATTAGATACAATAAATACACATTTTAGTAATGATTAACGTGAAAAGTGTAAACATTTCAATTCAGTAATAATCGTCAAACAAATGAGTCGTCTAAATTTAAACAGCATTTAGCATTATTAAAAGCGTTGATTAAAAATTCTTAAAAGTCTCCACTCAACGGTAAAATACCATTATATTATGTATTACCTATATATAATATTATGTTGCCATGAATTCGTAGGTATATTTTGTTGTTTAAAATGCAGTTGTCGGCGTTTTTTAGAGAACTCAAATATACAAATGGTTGATTTTAAGGTTATGTTTGTGCAAAAATTATTTTTTAGTAATTTCTTAAAAATGTCCAAACTTAAATATAAATTATATTAGGTAAAGTTATCATTAGTTAATTCTGCACCAACAAATGTATTACCGAATTGGATCCTTTGGCAAAACATTAAAATGCAACGATTTAGTTCTTGAATTTATTTACAATTAAAAACACAATAATTCACCATGATCCCTTAGATAAAATACACACACTAACGTAACTATATAAGCATTTAAGCGTTGAGTTTCTTAATCAATGATATAAAGAATAATCAATCGAAATCGAGTACTAAACCAGTTTTTTAGTTTTTCCTTGCAACGTAAATCACAACGTGCGCTATTTAGCTGTGCTATTGAACAAAATTTGTCGAGTAAGACTTCTATTTAAAAATGATGTACAGTTCGTATGCTTTAAATGTAAAAAACGTCGAAAAAAATGCATTGACTGAAATGGCATTTTCTTTGTTTATTTTCGTTTCCATGGCATTTGTATGCGTACAGTCGCAGAAAATACTAATGCCCAATGTGCAATATGTGTGTTTCAAGAAGTTCTTGCTCGAAAATAAAGAAATTTGGAAATTTTAAAGCACTAAACTACCTTAATAGGAAGTAAACATTTCTATGTAGTAATACTTATCGTAATATTAGTTTTTAAGAAAAAGGGGACATTAAACAGATTTGTGCATTACCTTTTTCGTTGAGTGTACGTCGGGAGTCGGTCGGGCTCTAATTTTCCGGCGCTGGCGAATCGATACCGTGTCCTGGTCTGCTAGTGCATAGAGATTTAGTTAGTCGGCCGTCTGCTCCCGTCTACTCTACTCCTTTACTACACCGCAACAAACCTTTTAGGCTTTCATCAGTCGATACCGCCTCAATTTAACTGATTAACCGGCTGAAAAATTCAACAAATCGCGTGCCGATCAACACTCCCCCGCACTCGCCGTTATTGTTCCGTTAATTTTTAACAGCAGAGTGATCTATTTCATTACAAAAACGGCTAACAGAAAGAGTCATTTTTTATCGAAATTCTGCCACGTGGGATGGAAAGAAATTCTTCACGATTTTCGGGTAACACAACTTTTTAAACACATTTTATTTTTCATCACTTTCATTATAGCCATTTTATTTCCACTAGGGCTGTTTTTTAATGCGATTGATTTTTCTTAGCGGTTTTAATTTTTTTTTATATAATATAACATCTTTTCATATACAGGGTGTAAAATAAAGACTCAACAACTGTTCAGTTGAGTTTTACTTCATAGATTGATTTTATTTTAAACAACTAGTATTTTATAATTATAATTATACTTACGTATGTACATATGTACAATGTACATGTAATTAATATACAGTTTGTTTTTAATAATTACTAGGTTTTAAGTAGTATTTAATAGATAGGCAAAATTAATGATTAGTATAAGGGTTTCATTAAAAATTTAAAAATTTTGAAAATGTGTTTTTACGAAAAAATGTTTAAAATAAAAATTCGGTTGAACACTCCCGTTTGTAGTAAACTGCTTGTCTGTACGGTGAAATGAAGTGCGTGATCGAATTTTATCCGGAAAACGCTGAGCGTAGATATTAACAGCATCATCAAGATTCCTGCCTGCTTCTCCATAAATCAAAATCATTTCTATTTTTTCTTCCACTGTTAAGAAATCCATTATGAATAACTGCTTAACGAAAGGAGGTCTTTTTGTTTGCAAATTAATCTTCGAACTAAATTGATGAATTAATGCTAAACTATAAATAATTATTATTTATAACTAAATACCATTTTTTATACCTCAATTAGGATTAAATTAATTAATTGACAAAATATTGTTTTTTTACCTTAAATGAGGTATTTTTATTAAAAATAGTACAATAACCCTTTAAATTAAAGGATTTAATGCTGGCAGGTAAAAAGTGACCATGGTGCGCAATTGATAATTAACACCGAATGAAATAATCTATAAAACTTAAACCAAAGGAAACTAAAATTTTATTTTAAAAAACGTGGGCACTTAAAAAAATCAGATTTAATTTAATAAGATAATTATTACCAAAAAAGTGATATTTCTATAGAAAAATTATTGCAGAATCGTATAAGAAGAAAAATCGAACAAAATTGATTTTTTTTCATTATAGCGCCATCTAATACAAATATGAAAAAATGTTTTAGACAAGTCGAATGATCCGAATCTGCAATAAAAAATAGGCTGTTCCATTGGAAATTTTAAAGTTACCCCCTGTTCCCCCAATAAGGAGGAGAGTATGAGGACCAATTTTAGAACTGATTGATTTCCCCCCTCGAAACATTTAATTTTTATTTCAAATTTTCTACAAAAAATATATTTACTTTTTTTCTTATGCCATTTAACTTCAAAAATCTTGGTTGTTTTATTAACAATTTAGTGTTAAACGACAAAAAAATCTAAATCCCATAACATTTTCCAATAAACTTGATTACTTGTACAAACAAATTTTCATTGAAATCAATAAAACCAATATGCATATAAATTGACAGTTTAATTTTATTTCATTACAGTTAACAATCTCAACAATTTTTTATTTGACAAACATAAATTTATTGAATAAATTAAAAAATTATAACATTACAAAACTGAATTTAGTTTAAAAGTGGACACTTGCCCTTTATATAAAAACTGAAATTGATTTTCTTCGTAAACGCTTCTTACTAACTGGATTTGCGATTTATTTTTAAAACACATATGACATATGAATCTCTATTAATGCGTTTCATAACAGCAAACGTAACGTGCAGTTCATAGAAAACATTACGCGTATACAGTATAAAGGTATCATGATTATAAGTGTTAAAAGTAAAGGAAATCTTTGCAAATTTAAAGGTACAAAATCATAGTTTTTTCAATAGTTTATTTATTTTGTAGAATTACATTTTTGAGCACATGTTTGTCTTCAAACCCCAACAAAAAAATGTCTTTCTTTTTCAAAATGTTAAATCCAATATGGGGTTTGTTAAATTAGGTATATATACTTCACTATTTTGTAAGTAATCTTAAAAACCTATTTACCATATTAAAATTAGGCAACCATATTTTTTATTGAATTTTTTTTTTCACAAAAATTATTAAATATACATGGGTGAATCTCACGAAATGTCCCCCAAAGGTATTACCCCGTGACATTTAATAAAACTAAATAAGTTTGACCTACACTTTTATTGTGTTTTGATCTTTCACAATTAAGTAGATCAGGTTGCAGATTTTTAACCGCAATTAATTATTTTTTACAATATTTTAAAAGTCCAAAACCTATCCTTCGTGACTGTTACTCTTTCTAGGTTAACCTATATGTTTTCAAATATCTGAGGCAATAAAAGCATACTAAAAATATCAGTTCACTAAGTAAATTAAACACATCCAAAGCAATCGAACCAATTATAAAATATTATTAAACATTAAAAGAAATAATTTTTATAACCGTTTATGTAGGTGTTACAAAAATTGATTCTATCCTCCTTGAATCTGTTTTTGCTTTAAATTTTATGCAACGGATGGCGCTTTAATCATTTTAAATAAGCAAAAATCTCTGTTTACGACATTATAGATGCATGTGATTCCTGAAGTTCGGTTAGAATTTATATGCAGATGAAAATGTTGCTGTTTTATAATTCAAAAGTTTAAGTTCATTAATTTGCTATTTAAAACCTATCCACCGTGAAGTGTAATATCTCAGTAAGTAGATTTTTTTATAAATATTTTATGTATGTACAATTGTATTTTTTAAAAATATTAAGGTGTCAAAAGATACGATGACTTATTTCAAATATACAAAGGGATGTTTAAAAAAAACATACGAAATCCTAACCTCCGTGAAGCTCTAATATTCAAAATGTATGATTTCTTAAAATTCTTGCATTAGTGCAGAACCACTTATGTTATGTTATTACTAGACCTGGTGGCTTCCCAAAAACCCCATTCTAGACTAACAGTGAAACAACCAAAAATAAAAAATAATCATTTTCACTTGGGGGACATCTCAATATATTCACCCATATAAAGGGTGTATCAATAGGAGCGCAAGATTTCAAAGTTTAGTAAAACATGGTTTTAAGTATTAAAGCATTGAAATTTTTATTGATTTATAAAGTACACATTTGGAAATTATGTATAAAATATCACATCTGGTAAATGGCCACCACGGCTTAACTGGCACAAGCGTATTCTTTTGGCAAAATTTGCAATAACAATATTGAATACATGTGGCGGTATTTCGTTGATAGAGCGTCTTATTTCTGCTTTTAAGGCTTCGATGGTGGCGGGCTTGTTGGCATAAACTTGTGACTTCAAATAACCCCACAGCCAAAAGTCCAAGGGTGTTAAATAGTGGTGAAAATGGGCCTCATCACTGAAAATGATTTTGTCCGCAAAATCGGCATTCACTTCTTGCTGCTCAAGGATCCAATTGGTGAACTCTCTTCGCTGTTCATGGTCTTTTGGCTGGAGTTGTTGAGTCAATTGGACTTTGTAGGCATGAAGATGCAAATCTTAAGTAAGAATTCGCCGAAGAGTGGCTTTTGTAATGTCCAATTCTTGTGCACGATGGCAAATCGACGTCTCTGGACTCTCGGCCACACTCTTGCGAACTGCTGCGACATTTTGTTCTGAACGAGCTCGTGTCGTGTGTTTCACATCACTAACCGAAGCAGTGCTTTCAAATTTTTCGATTATTCTTTTCACAGTAGATGAATTAGGAACATTATTTCGAAAAAATATTGGACGCCCTTTACGAATCGTGGCAATCAAATTTTCATCATTTTGATAATAGTGTTTAACAATCAGGACGGGTTGTTCTATCGTGTAATGCTCTATATTTACTAACTTCCATCTGTCTCCTATCAATCTGTCATGTCATTAATCATGTGACATCATTGTTGCCAAACTGAGGCGAAATTCAAATCTTGCGCTCTTATTGATACACCCTTTACATGTATACTTTAACAAACTTAAACGCTTAAATTACATAGTTTGTAAAAAAGTTAATATAGTTCACTAAAACGATTTTTTGGTATAAAAATGTAGAAATTAATAGTCTGATAAGGCGGTTCTATGCCCTTGAGACTTGATCGACTGTGCCTAACTCGTTGTCAGTAATTTTATCACAGTGAAAAAAATTTCAGATCACGCAATAATCATGATCCTGCATAACAGTTACTATAATTAGTAATTTACGTAATTAGTTATTTCGGTGCATAATTAATAACTTAGGTTTAAGCATATACTTTGTAAAATTACTCGAGAATTTAGCGGCTCAAGTCATGCTAAAATAGAGAATATTTTTGGCAGTGGGCCTAATGAAATGCCGTTTTAAGAAGTATCTACGTGTATTTTTTTCGGCTTGCCCCGCACAGTGAGACAAAATCAATTTTTATTTATTTTTTAAATACACAGATTTTAACATTTATTAAATAATTTTTTAATTTAAAATTTTATTGGTTTAAAATTTAAAATCAAACGTCCAGTGTGCGTAGAGAATGCTGTGCTTTGATTGGTCTATTGATTTCCACGAAAATCATTTTCTATAGAAAGTTAACTAGGAATTTTTAAGATTTGGCAGCACTGTGCAACAATGTTTATTTTAACTCTACAAATTTTCAATACATAATTTAAAAATGAAGTGCCCGGCAAACTTCCAATTCGTCGTTTTTAATTTTAATGCTGACAGTTAAAATAACAAAGGACATATCCGCTTTAAAGACGGTGAGGAAATTTATTAGCTTTTGCAAGAATATAGTGTTTTTAAGGGAAAATATGGTATGTTTCTCTAACTTCATGATAAAGCATTTTTGTGTGACGTATTTTTGCTTTTTTCTCACAATAAATGTTTTAGCTTAGTAAGATATTTTTAAAAGAATATATTGAGATGTCTGAAAATGATTATTTTTTATTTTTGTTTTTTTCACTGTTAGTCTAGAATGGGGTTTTTGGGAAGCCACCAGGTCTAGTAATAACATAACATAAGTGGTTCTGCACTAATGCAAGAATTTTAAGAAATCATACTTTTTGAATATTAGAGCTTCACGGAAGATAGGATTTCGTATATTTGAAATAAGTTATTGTATATTTTGACACCTTAATATTTTTAAAAAATACATACATAAAATATTTATAAAAAAATCTACTTACTGAGATATTACACTTCACGGTGGATAGGTTTTTAAACAGCAAACTAATGAAGTTAAACTTTTGAATTATAAAAATATATAAATTCTAACTGACCTTCAGGAATCACTTGCATCTATAATGTCGTAAACAGAAGTTTTTGCTTATTTAAAATGATTAAAGCGCCATCCGTTGCATAAAATTTAAAGCAAAAACAGATTCACGGAGGATAGAATTAATTTTTGTAACACCTACATAAATGGTTATAAAAATTATTTCTTTTAATGTTTAATACTATTTTATATTTGATTCGATTGCTTTGGATGTGTTTAATTTACTTCGTGAACTGATATTTTTAGTATGCTTTTACTACCTCAGATATTTGAAAACATATAGGTTAACCTAGAAAGAGTAACAGTCACGGAGGATAGGAATAAAAGAAATAACATAACTTCGTCTTAGAACTTATTAATCCCGGCGCATCCGCCATTTTTGACATCAATTTTATTGTTCCAGATTATTTATTTGCTCAAATGTCGTCAGATACAAACGACGCAGCAAAAGTGGAATGTACAGATCAACCGGGTAAAAATGAAGAGCTGACGGGCGTAAGGAAATGGGTGTCAGAGAACTTACTATTAATTGTTACTTTGTTAGGTGTAGCCATAGGTATAGCCACAGGTAAGAAGCACTGTTTTTTGTAGTAACTACAGTTAACCAATATTTTATTGGTCCAATCCACCTCAAGTTTTAGAGAAATTCCAACCCAAAATTTTAAGATTAAAAAAAATGTTTTTGAAAATTTTGATTTTTTTAGAAAATTTGTGCCACTATTTTTTAATCTTAGCCCAATGTGCGAATTTGTCCCACCATTTTTTAAATTTATGTTATTGTGCGAATTTTTCCCATATTGTTTTAATTAACAGTTGTTTTCTTTATTAAAAAACTTTTATGGCAAATCAATAAATCAATATAAAAACATTAATTTTTATAGTATACAGGGTGTTCGTTATTTGAGGCTGAACAAAGGTATCTCGCTTATTTTATTTCGGCAGTTTTGAAAGCTAGCAAAAAGATTTTAGCAGACTCAAATTCCCTTTAAAATGTCTGAATTAGAAAAAGCTACCTTCAACCGTTTTTGAAATAAAAAAAAATTAAAAATACAATTTCTCGTTTTTTACGATATCTCGAATACTAAAAATTATAATTAATAATTTAAATTTATTTTTAGATTATTAATCGGCATAAAAATGTGCAACATTTTTGGCTGTTTTTTTTATACTTTTGTACCCCACTAAAAATGTTACTCATATTGTTTTCTAATTTTTGTACCCAACCAAAAAATTTTTTTTAAAAGAAAATAAACGATTTGAAAAAAAAAATTAAAAAATACATTTTTAATTGCAAACATTTAAAAAGAAAAGTCGACTCATAGATTTGGTATCAAATTTATTAAAAATACGTCCCGTTTAGTCAATTTTTAAAAAAGTTATGGGTATTTTAAAAAATTAAGACATTTTTTTAAATTCGTAACTTATTTTTGGTTGGGTTAAAAAATTATGAGAAATTTTTTAGTGGTAGATAAAGATAAAAAACTTCAGCCAAAACCAAAGTCGATGTGGCGTTTTTAATAAGAAATTGGAAAAAAATTTAAAAAATACCTACATTTTTAATTACAAAAAAATAGAAAGAAAAGTCGCCCCACTCTGGATTTAGCAGCATAATTGGCAGGATTAATTGAAGTTTTTTCATTAAAAAAAAAGAAAAAAAATTAAAAATGGCGAATTTATTCAAAAACTCAACTTTTAAAAAGATATGGGGATTGAAAAAAAATAGAGGAATCTTTTTTAAAAATTCGTAAAAGAATTCTGATATATATTCCCCCATCCGTTCGTTATTTTTATCAAAATGTGTGGTAGAGGAAAAAAAATCGAAAAAAGTATCTTGAAGAGGAAGAGATACTACTTACCACTTCTAAGTACTTCAGATGGAATAACAAGTTTTGAGGAAAAAATCACCGTGTAATGTATAAACCAACTTTCACTTTTGGGTTAGAATTTCTTGTAAACCTGATGTGATGGAGCAATTCTGAGGTGGAATGTCAAAAACATTGAAAAAATATTGCCTTGTTTCAGTTATAAAATTTGTAGACCTTCGTTTTTAATGAAAAGGACACATTATATGTTATACCGTGCAAATATAATATTTTCATGATCAATAATACTTTTAAGCGTTTTTACATATGCAAAATTATGTATTTCGCGTGGAATACATTTTTGTCATGCACAGAATGCATTTATCATTTGGAATTGTAAACCAAAATAGGCTACCCTTTTTGTACCTAATATTAACTAAAAGATCTAATTCGCTAAAGATTCGGCCGAAACTTGTAAGGTCGATTTTTACCGTTTAGGTTGAAAATATTTCTGTATCGTATACTGTATTGTAACGTTTTTACTGTTCGTAGTGTGAATATAACTTAATTAACTATAAAACTAACTAAACACTTAACTACTAATTATTTATATATCACTACTGTACAAGAGTCTATTTATTTGCACGTATATTTATTTATTTCGTCGCGAGTACCAAAACTTAACTGACTGCTCCATGCTGCGCTGTTCCTTATATATTCAGTGCCTACGTGCCTTCCCGAACATTCCAGCGCTACAGTATTTTAAAACTTACAATTGCAACAAACATCTTTGGCTTGTTTTAGGGTTTGGACTTCGTTCGTTACAGCTTTCGGAGAGTTCTATAGTGATGATCTCGTATCCAGGGGAGCTGTTCATGCGAATATTGAAGTTGATCATTTTGCCTCTGATCATATCGAGCCTTATTGCCGGAAGCGCCAGTTTAAACGCGAGACTGAACGGGAGAATCGCCTTAAGGACATTGGTGTACTTTTTCCTTACATCGGTCACTAATGCTATTTTAGGTAAGTACTACTTTTTATTGAATTTTGTGTGGTTTATGCAAAAATAATACTTCCTGCTGTAAAAACATTATTAACAAAACTTAAAAACAGCAATATAAAATAAAATGTTTATATTCTTAGAACCTTCCCTTATTGCTAAGAATGTTCTTAGGGTTTTTTAAAACATTCAATAGATACCCTTTTAATGATGCAATTAGATTCTTAGAAGCTTCTTAAAACCTTCCTAAAAAGCATTCTAAGAACATTTTAAGATTACGTTTTTGGAATGTTCTTAGAAGGTTTTTTATGGAGCTTCTAGGAAGCTTTTGAGAATATCTCCAAATATGTCAGATACCCACGTTCTAATATGTTGGATTCTACATTCTTAAATTTCTTCAGGAAGCGACAAATACGCTTCACTGTCATAATACGACAGTGAAATGTATTTGTCGTCCCCTTAAAAAATTTTGCGACATATTAATATATATTTATTTAAAAATATTAAATAAACAATTTGACCTCTAAACCATAAGTTGTATGACATTATTTTATAAAAAGTAAAATTGGAAAATTTTGTGATGATAGTTAGGATTATTATTAGGGATGGGATATTTAGGTACTAAAAACTGAAAAATAGGTAACTAAAAAGGTACTAAAAAAAAGCATTTTAGGTTAAAAAAACAGCATTTTAGGTAAAAAAAAACATTAAAAGTTTAAGTTTCGTTTATAATTTTGTTTAGCCGCATACCCAAACACAGAACATACCCACAATAAACTATTTCTATGCAATAAACTGTGTTTTACTGAGTGACACTCACTACACAGAAGTTCTGTGACAGAACATAAGCTCACTAGTAGTGAGTCACTACAAAGAAGGTAACTGTAAAGAAAGTTACTGTTACAGTCTGTAACCATAAGAAAAAATTCTATACCGTTGAGTTGCACGCCCTGGATAAAATATTGGCGCAAATTTTAAAAAGAACAAAAAAATAAAATAAGTAAAAATACGTAAAAATAGGTAACAAATATATGAAAATAAACTGACAAATTAAAAAATATGTAACAAAAGTATAAAAAGGTAGTTTAACGCAAAAACCTCCAAAAAAGGTAAAAAAGGTGAAAAAAGTTAAAAAAAATAGGTAACAAAAGTATAAAAAAGGTAGTTAAAAGCAAAAACCTCCAAAAAAGGTAAAAAAGGTGAAAACAAGTTAGGTTCATATAAAAGAAAATCTTTTAAAACACATTTTGGCATTATTGGTTTTCAAATAGTTAAAAAAAGGTAAAATAACTAAAATCCCATCCCTAATTATTATACATAAAAATGTTAATTCAGAAATAAAAAATCGGTATACAAATTAATAAATATTTATTTTTAACAAAAAATAAAATATAAAAAAAAAATATTTCCTTATAAAATAATTCTTCATAAAAGAAAAAACTAAATAGTTCTTCATAAAAAAAAACATTTTTCATTGTATTTAAGTTGGATAGAAGGTTTTATGTAAAAGCCGGATAATTTAGATACCTATAGTTAAAGTATTTTTGTTATCGAATATTGTTTTAATTTGACAAAATTTAATAACTATAAAAAATATTTTGGGTTGTGTTTTTTACTTAGTATTTAATACTAAGTACCTTTATACGTAGATTATGGTATATTTTACTATTATATATGTACCTAACTGAACTGAATATGCTTAACAGAATGTTCCAGGAATATTCCTAAATGAACTTTCTATAGCAATTACTTTCTCAACATTCTAAGCATATGTTTAGAGTGGATTAATTTTTACCACTAAACTTTGCACCTTCTAAGAACCTGCCTATAGGCATTAGGATTATGCTATATTTCTTTTAAGCATGTTCTTAGAAGAAATATAGCATGATCCTAAGAATATTCTCACTGGAAGGTCTAAAAAACATTCTTAGAACATGACTAGAAGAAATATAGCATGATCCCAAGAATATTCTCACTGGAAGGTTTAAAAAACATTCTTGGAACATGACTAGAAGAAATATAGCATGATCCTAAGAATATTCCCACTGGAAGGTTCAAAAAACATTCTTAGAATAAACTGTGCTATCAGGGTTAACTTAATAGTCGATTTTAAAAATAGTTACCAAAAAATCCTGGACTGAAAAGTATTAATTACAAAACTAACTAAAAAAATACAAAAACTTTGTAAATGTGTTTTCTACGCATGTAGTGATTTCGGAGTGCCAGAACATGACATACAAAACAACAACAAAAACAAAGATAGGTATGAATAATTCACCCAAGTTTTATAAAGAAATATTTTGGAAACCACTATATATCTTTTAAAAGAACTGTTTTCGTTTTTTCGGCACCTAAGGTACTAGTTGAGTTTTATAGTAGTATCTAGCTTATTTAAAATGTTATTATTTAACACCTTGTATAATTTAGTTTATGCACGATGACATTATAATATGACAATTATAACAAAAATTCTTTGACGTAAACGTCTTTTTATAGCCCGCGGGCTTTATTATGGCCCAGCGGGCTATAATGAAACGTCAAAAATTAAAAACAACAATGTTACACCATTTGATATATTCGAAGTAAGTTTTTTCGTATAAAGATTTTGATTTTACCGGCAGCAGGCCGCAATTTTTCGCCTTTTCAGCTGCTTCCTCAATTTCATTTATCTTTAAACTTTAAAACTGACTGATGTCAGTTGACATTATAATATGACAATTATAACAAAAATTCTTTGACGTAAACGTCTTTAAAAACAATAATATATTAAAAATAATAATATATTAATCGTGCATAAAGTTTTGTATGCATTGCTGGCATAACTGGTTTTTATGGTCCTACGACGCTTTTCTAGCCCTCGCGCTAACGCGCTCGGGCTCGAAATAGCGCCTCGGACCATAAAAACCTTATTATGCCCTTAATACATAAATAACTATTATTAATGACAATAGTTTTATAAAACAGTTCGCAAAGTGTATAAAAAATGTTATATATATTATATAAACTAATTAAATACCTAATGGTTACAGTAACTTTATATAACTATTATAAAATTCGTAAACTAAATGACGATTTACTCTTATAAATATACATATACGAGGTGTGTTCAGAAAATAACGGGAATTGTTAAATTTCGCGGGTTCGGAGGGTCCGGTTGTCATAAAATTTCTTTATTATGTAGGTATACATGCTCCCGAACTATGATAAAAACTTTAGCTGTTTTCATTGTTTACTTTGTCTGTGGCAGCCGCTAAGGTTAGACGTGTTTTATGAGCTTGGCGATTTTTCGTTCGTTAAAAGAAATGGATCAAAGAATTTGTATCCATTTTTGCTTAAAAAATGAAATAAATTCTGTGAAATGTTAACAAAGGCCTATAGTGAGTCTGCTATAAGTAAAACAAGAGTTTACAAGTGGTATAAGAGTTTCCAAGATGGCCGTGAAGACGTTGAAGATGACGAACGCCCCGAACGCACAAGCACATTAACAACCGATAAAAACATGGAAAAAGTGGAAGAAATGGTTATAAACCATCAGAGAAGTCGCTGATGATGTTGGTATATCGATTGGCTCATCCCATCTTTTGGGTATGAAACGCGTGGCAGCAAAATTTGTTCTAAAATTGTTAAATTTTGAACAAAATTTTTGGACAAAAACAATACTGTAATGATGCCCCAGCCTCCATATTCGCCAGACATGCCTCTGTCTGACTTTTTCCTATTCCCAAAAATAAAGAGAACCTTAAAGGGCCGTCGTTTTGCAAGCATAGATGACATTAAAAGCGCATCGCTGAAAGAACTAAAGGCTATCCCAAAGATCGAGTTTTATAAGTGTTTCGAGTATTGGAAGAAGAGCTGGCACATGTGCATAATATCCAATGGGGACTATTTTGAAGGCAACATTAATGTAGATAAATAAATAAATATTTGTTTCAAAAAACGAAAATTCCCGATATTATCTGAACACACCTCGTACAAAAACTAGTTCTTTCCGACATATTTTATTAATAAAAAATTTCGTAGCATTTCGTTGGTATATTAATAAAAATAATAATTAATTTGTTGATATATTTTTAAACGTTAACTGGACAATTAAAATTAAATGCTTGTAATCCCGGCGCATCCGCCATTTTTGAAACAATTTATATTTTCGCCAGAGTTGTATAGTAATATATTAACTTTTACTGCAGTCTGCAGTTGGCAAATAACAAAGCATTTTGTGAAGGCTTGGTCCGTAGTATATTTCAATAAAACTTGTATATCCTACCTAAAACAGAGCTGAAATATTAAAAGCTTAAATATGACAAACCTTTATCAGAAAATATATGAATGATTCAATACCCTATGCATTTTAAAGAACAAAGGATTATTTTCAGAGTGCGAAATTGGTAATTTACAAGGCAGATATCCCTATAATTAATAATAAATAATAAAATTATCCTTTTACCTGATAAATATAACTACCTGGGATAATTGTAAATTATAATGTTTTATTATTATGTTTCAGGTGTGATATTAGCGACTGTAATACACCCCGGAGATCAAGGACTGAAAATCTCTATAGAAAAAGAGATGGCCCCCAATAAAAAGAAAGGATTGGTTTTAGATAGTTTACTGGATTTGGGCAGGTAAATAATACATATTGACTAACTTTTAATTACTTTTTAATTGCTTTTGTCCTTAATCTAAAGGTAAGTAATACTGTAATCCATAGGTATAAATAAATCAGTTTTTCCATTATTTTCCTTCATATTGAACACGCAATATCCGTTTCTATTTAAAGATAAATGAATACTGATGATATATCAGAGGAAATTTTATTTTTGGCATAGACGATATTTAAAAATCGTTATTCGATTTAGGTCTGACATAAACAGCCCACGAAATTTAACCAAAATCGATATTAAAAGAATTGAAATTGACGTCATTGCATGATAATAAAAATGCAATTGGTATAAAAATTTCTTGAGTTTAAACAATACTTCGTAGTTAATAAATCACGGTGCTGTTCTGAGAGGTGATTTTTGCACTTTCTGTGAAACCTAATTTTTTTTATATTCTTGTTAATTAGGTCATAACTAAAATTTTAAGAGCAAAAAAAAAAAATGGACGGCTTAAATTGTTTTAATTGGCTGTTTATTAAAAATATTATGCACTCTTTCAATTATCCAATTAAAACTAGCGATTTAATTTAAATATTTAATATTTGCATAACTAAAAAAAAGGTTTTTACAATTTTTTTTATATATTTTACTGTTTTGTTGCAATAAACGTTCAAACTTTTAATCTAACCTTTGATGTATACATTTATGTTCCCTTAATTAATATATCCTTAAAGGTTGCCATGAAACTTAGATCTATTAAATAGTATATTACACTACAAGGGCAGAAAGTGTGAGATTCCTGCACTGCGCGCCATGATGCCCGAGGCGAAGCCGAGGGCATCATGGCGCGCAGTTCAGGACTCTCACACTTTCTGCCCGTGTAGTGTATACTATTTTTCTTACTACCTCGGCCGAAAATACAACCCGGCCGAAAATACGGGAAAAAATTAAATGTGTATTTATGTACCTATCTCCATTTGAAGAGCTTGATAAATAAACAACAGTAGGCCGTGAATTCAGCGGTGCCAATACAGTAAAAATAAAACGTTGTATTTTAATTAACAAATTACTACTTTATAACAAATAAAAGTACCATTAAACACTTAAAACAGCATAAAAAGTAAAAAAGTAAAAACATAAATTGTTTATTTGTTGTTATAATTGAAAAATTATGGTTTAAAACTGTCATATTTTTGTGTTTCTCATGCTATTAGAATGTGCGCGTATAGCTTGACCAATGCAAGAAACGTAAACTTTCTGCCGTGGAATCGGGGACGAAACAACGTATTTTGAGTCGAGGTAGTAAGAAAAATTTATTTGACGTTTGAATTGTCATTTTCAGTATACGTATTCTATAATTTTTGTTTAGTTTTTTAAAGTGTTTTTTATAAACAAAAATGAAAAATTGTAGTAAAAGTTACGAAGAAATTCATGAAATTTATCTAAGGACCGGTTTATTCATCTTTAGTAAAGTTTATCGGGCCGATAACTTTCATGTCTTGGCAATATCTAGTATCCAAAGAAATTATTCGTCAAATAAATCAAAAATGAATAAATCGGCCCTAAATAAAATGTGGCACCCTTAGAATTATTGTTTAATAAATGTATACTATACATTTAACCTTAAATTAAAACTTTAAACGTGTATTACAACAAAACAGTAAAAGATATAAAAAATGTATAGACCTTTTTTTAGGAAATTAACTAATCTTTAATCTGATTTAAAAAGTTATGATAATATTTAAATAAAATCGCAAGTTTTAATTGGAGAATTGAAAGTGTGCATACATATTTTTAATAAACATCCAATTAAAACAAAAATAACCGTCAAATTTTTTTTATTTTGCTCTTAAAATTTTAGTTATAACCTAGGTAATTAACAATATAAAAAAAAAATAGGTTTCACAGAAAGTCCAAAAATCACCTCTCAGAACAGCACCGTGAAATATGACACAAATGTTAAGTTGCTTAAAGACTTTTGCATTGTACTCCAGACTAATAAAAACGCCACTCTTCTTAAGCTTATTACATGTAATCTTGTAGCTGAATTGCAAAGCTTCAAAAGAAGTCTAAGAGGTTCATTAGGGCTGGCCTTAAGGGTCTTGAAACACATTTCTTGCTCGTCTCCTCCCAACTTTAGACTTCCAGTTGAAAAAACATTCAATTTTACTCTAGGCTTTTATTTTTAGAAACATCGTCGCCGATAATATTTTTCAAGCGACTTTTCAACAAGTAAGTATTCACGAAACTACCGACATCAGGTAGTTTTTCAAAACATTCGAGGAAAAGTCTCGTTTTTTCATTGATCGTTGTTTTCTTTTTAGGCGCATACCGACTACGTGAATGGGACTGAAAGGAGATTTAATATGGAAACTGGAGAGTCTGAAGTACATAATGTTATAGCTCGAGAAATTAAATATAGGTAGGTAGAGGGAATTTACTCCATTTGTTCTACTATTTTTTTTTATTTATGAGTGTATTACTAGGGCATTTTTCTGCAGAATATAAAAATTTTGAGTTTTCTACGAATAAAAATAAAATAACAAATTTATTTTTTAATTTAATATATTTAACAAGAAATTTTTATACAAAAATGGATATGTTTCCCAAAAAAACATTATTTTATCTCAAAACAATTAAAAAAACAATAATTCACCATGATCCCTTGCTATATAAGCATTTAAGCGTTGAGTTTCTTAATCAATGATATAAAGAATAATCAATCGAAATCGAGTACTAAACCAGTTTTTTAGTTTTTTCCTCGCGACGTAAAACACAAATAACGTGCGCGATTTAGCTGTGCAATTGAACAAAATTTGTCGAGTAAGACTTCCTCTCTTTTGTGAAAAAACTACCTATTTATTTAAAAACGATGTACAGTTCGTATGCTTTAAATGTATTGTTGACAATTCTTGAATTCACGCAATGCTTTTGAAGTCCACCAGATGGCGCGCGCGTTGCGAAAACCCGATACTTCTTTAGAGTATAAAATGCCAACCAAAACTGATAGCATAATCTGATAATAGACTCTTTTGGTAAAACAAAAATGTATTTATCAAAATCCCAGCTGATCCTTTATTTTGCATATTTCTTAGTATTTTAAAATTGTTTATGCCATTTCGATAAAATACTCTAGTACCATTATCAAATGTTTTTAAAAATTTGGCAGATACATGACTGAAATATGGATAAATTACATTATACATACAAAATAATGTAAAATACAGTTTGCAATATCTTATTTATTGTTTGAAGGTACCTAATAAAAAACTAATAAATAACTAAAGATTCTTTGAAGCAAAATCGATTACTGCTTGCCTTAAATTTTCAGTAAAACTTTTTCTTGGGTTTTACATGGAATTGTTTTTAACATGGAAACAGTATTTTTAAATTCTTCAGTCTCTGTACAAACATGCTTCTTACCTCTAGCGATATCCCCTAGAAAGAAAGAGCATATCAAAACTTTAGTTCGTTCGCCCGTCCTCTTCCCTTAATAATTTTTTATGCACTTTATATCTTGCCATTTTGCAGATAAAGCACATACATTCTTGGCTGCCGCGAAATTCTCTAGCAATTTCTAAATTTTGAAAATTTGGCAATTGTGGCTATGCAAAAATACCGTTTTCACCATATTGAATTAGGTAATTTTAAATCACTTAAGTTAAAGTGTTCTCAGAAACCCTAAACTCTGAATTTTTCGATTACCAAAAACAATTTTGTCTCCACAGCCAGCACATACCTTCTTTCGATTTTCTTCATGGCTTAACTTGAATTTCGGTTTAATTTTCATTTTAAAATACTATTTTTAACTTTATAAATAAACAACTAAAGCAAAATGTCACTTGCGTTTTATATAAATCTTCGTTTTTTTTGTTATGTTTTGTTTTGAGTGGTAAAAAATAATAGGTGACTCAATAAATTAATACTGGGGAGTAAAGTAATTTAAATGATACAAAGTTTATTATTTTGCTTAATTTTATTAAAATTGTACAGGTAGTTTTAGTACAATAATTGCAAAATAATATATAGAAATGGAAAAACAAAAAAGTTTGCAAAACTTTAAAATAGGATCAGCTGGGATTTTGATAAATACATGTTAGTGTTACCAAAAGGGTCTATAATCAAAATATGCCATCAGTTTTGGTTGGCATTTTTGTTCGTTTTATGCTTAAGTTTTGACCACCGTGTATAGACGAAGAAATAATAGATTGTTGCTCTTTCTCGTAGGTTGGGAACCAACACTCTAGGAATAGTATTCTTCTGCCTAATATTCGGAACGATCTTGGGCACTTTGGGCCAAAGAGCCAAAGTGGTGATCGATTTTTTCAGCGTGATTTTCGAGGTGATAATGAAAATGGTGAACGGGGTGATCTGGCTAACCCCCGTCGGCATCAGCAGCGTGATAGCCGGCAAAATTTTGTCGGTCAGCGACGTCGCCTTGGTGATCTCGCAGCTGGGCTGGTTCATAGCCACCGTGATATTCGGGGTTTTCCTCTACCAGCTCATCATCATGCAGCTGATCTATTTTGTTTTCGTCGGCAAGAATCCCTTCAAGTTTTACGTGGGATTAATCCAGGGTGAGATTTTATTCATTAGGGTGATTCATTTCCGCAGTTTTTGTTTTCTTCGGTGCTCAAGCAAAATATTAATCTGCAAATAGAAAAAAAAATTCTCAACAAGTTTGAGCTCTTAATATAAATTTCAAGTACTTACTATTTAAATTTAAAGTTTTACCGTTTAAAATGCATGTAAAAAAATATATATTTTTTCAAATTTCTAATGCTTACCCACCTTTGACAATATTGCAAATCGGTTTAATACACCTTATGGGGAATTTCACGCTCTTTAAAATTGCTTTTGAGTTTTTTTTGTAACTCGCATTGTTTCACCAGTAGGCGTCGTCAAAGGACAGTTTTTGAAAAAAATCGTTTTTTTATTTGTTCGAGCAAATCGCCAAAAGTAGTGAGAAAAAAGGGCTGAATCATAAAAAAAAGTTATCCAACCAATATTTAATGAATTTACAGCAATTTTTATAACTCAAAACGTAAGAAATTGATAATTACCAACTCATAATGTTATTTAGATTCATTTTTTCTATTTATTATCATTATATTTCCCTGCACTAAGAAGTTTTTTAAAATTATTGTTTTCTCACTTATAATGAATATGAAAACATCAGATAAATTCATAAAAAAACAATAAGAAAATTGTAACGTGGATTTTGCAATTTTTCAACATTTCTGTCATATAGCAAAAAAATATAAATGAAGATTATTTAATTTTTTGAAGCGAAATTTGAAATATGTTACATAACCTTCTGTATATTCCGATTAAAGTTTTGTTGTTTTTTTATGAATTTATGTGTTGTTTTCATATTCATTATAAGTGAGAAATCATAATAATTTTAAAAAAGTTCTTAGTGTAGGGAAATATAACGATAATAAATAGAAAAAATCAATCTAAATAACATTATGGGTTGGTATTTATCAATTTCTTACGTTTTCAGTTATAAAAATGGCAGTAAATTCATTAAATATTGGTTGGATAACTTTTTTTTTTATGAATCAGCCCTTTTTTCTCACTACTTTTGGCGATTTGCTCGAAAAAATAAAAAAAAAACGATTTTTTTCAAAAACTGTCCTTTGACGACTCCTACTGGTAAACCAATGCGAGTTACAAAAAAAACCCAAAAGCAATTTTAAAGAGCGTGAAATTCCCCATAAGGTGTATTAAACCGATTTGCAATATTGTCAAAGGTGGGTAAGCATTAGAAATTTGAAAAAATATATATATTTTTTACATGAATTTTAAACGGTAAAACTTTAAATTTAAATAGTAAGTACTTAAAATTAATATTAAGAGCTCAAACTTGGTGAGAATGTTTTTTCCTATATGCAGATTAATATTTTGCGTGAGCACGAAAAAAAAACAAAAACTTTGCGGAAATGAATCACCCTAGTGAGAATTTATTCATCCGTTGTCCATCATTTAAATCCACATTTTAGGTACTGTTACGGCATTTGCCACAGCTTCGACCGCAGCTGCGCTTCCTGTTACGTTTACTTTAATGGACGAAAAAGTGAAGGTCGACCAAAGGGTCACGAGATTCGTTCTTCCGATTGGTTGTAATATAAATATGGACGGCACAGCTCTTTTTATAGCTGTCGCTTCGATTTTCATTGCTCAGATGAACGGGGTGCAGCTGGGTATAGGAGAACTCGTTACTGTTTGGTAAGTGGGGAAAAATTTAATACAGTTCATTTTTTTTCGCTGGACACGTGTTTTTTTGTTAGGTTGGTGGCTTATACCAGTTTGACTTAGTATTTTTAGTATTTAAAAATGGTACTTCTGCTAAAGAATTTAATTAAATACTTTGACACTGTCAAATTGACAATAATATTTATTATTGATAATTTACTTGTCAATTATAAATAAAAAGATAATTATGCCAAAAATAATAGCAACGAATTCAAATGTAAAAGCCCTTTTGAGGGCAAAAGTTCATTTTAATGAAATTATGCCAAATGCTACAATGGAAGAAAAAGTACATCTCCTTATGGACATTTTTGGAGTAAAAAAGTAACGAATTTGGTTTTATAAATATTACATCACACATTATTTTCACATTATTCACCATTGGACAACATTTACGTACACAAAAAAATTTAATTTCTTTTATATAAATTCTTTTCAAAGCGAAGATTATTATCCGCTAGGAACACTTTCTCTTCTGGGCCGTAAAGCAACCTATATTTAACTACTTTTTTTATATGATTTTACTCATCCAAGCACCACCAAAGCCAAATTAATTGCATTTTTAACTACGAATTTCGACAACTCAACTTGACAACTGCACAATGTAACCTACAATAATTTATACATAACCACAATTAGATTTATAACTAGCTTAGTTTGTTTTAATCAATGCGACCAACTTGACAACTGTATTTACCAACCAAAACCCTAAATTTGCAACGTTGCCGCAGTCCAGATAAAAAAAGAACTTTACATCGCCTTATGGACATATTTGGAATAAAAAATAATATTTTTGGTTTAACATTAAATTACACATTATTTTCAGCTAAGCAGATCAAAAATTTTTGAAATTTAAAAAAATAGAAATAATAAAACGAATAGACCTATCTCATAAAACGAACTTTTGGATAGCGCGTGCGTGAAAAGGCACGTCGTCTTTTTTTAATTATATAAAAGAGAAAGAGATACCACTCTTATTCAGGCACGCGCTATCCAAAAGTCTGTTTTATGGGATAGGTATATTACATTCTAGTTACTAGTTTAGTTTGTTTTAATCAATGCAACCAATTTTGGTTCCTTATTTACCAACCAAACCCCTAAATTTGCAACGTTGCCGCTGTCCAGATAAAAAAAATGAACTTTACTTGAATCAAAACATTGTTTAAATATTTTGTTTCAACAAATTGTTTTTTTTAGTTTCACCTCGACAGCTGCATCATTTTCGTCAGCTAGTGTACCTAGTGCTGCCCTAGTTTTACTATTAATGGTTTTATCAGCTATAGATACTCCAGATCAGGATGTTTCACTTTTGTTTGCTGTCGATTGGCTTGTGTAAGAAAAAACATCGTTTTAATTATATTTTATTTTTTATTCACACTGGAATCACCCATAATGGTCTTTTGACCCATTTTTTACAAACATAATAAAAACTGAATATAATTAATTGTATTAATTCATTTTTAAATATTAAATGTTTTTTTATTTACAGGGATCGCTTTCGTACTACAAACAATATGTTAGGAGACTGTTATGCTGCTGCAGTGGTAGAAAAATTGTCAAAAAAAGAACTGATGGCCTGTGATGCTATACAGGTAAAATTAAAAAATAACAATAACATCAAAATATTAATATTACTTTTTTGTGTTTTTAGGAGCTTTCAACTGGTTTTGACAACCACATCAGCAGCAACAATTTGGATAAAGACTTGGAACCCACAGAAATTGTTATACAAAGTTTCCCGAATGGTGCTACAAATTGATGATAAAAAAAATAATAATCAGAGTATAATAATTATTGTTATATTTTTTATTGTGATTACACTTAGAATTAGACATTGTTTAGCTCAAGGCAGTATACATATCTTTAATTTTACAAAATAAATCAGTATTATCGAAAATAAATTGTTTGATTTTGATATGCACCCTGCACCATTATAAAAACAAAAGATGGTGATGGCATACCAGTTATAACTTAAATTCTAGTAGGCGAAAAAAAATTTCGATGAAAATGTACATGTGGAACGATTTTTGGTTTTGACAGTTTTTCAGTTTTTTTCAAATTAGGTATTTGAATAACAGTTGGGGGCCGTTCATTAATTACGTGAGGCAATTTTGGCGATTTTTTGACCCCCCCCTCCCCTTGGTGAGATATCGTGAGATTTTGCTCGACCCCCTCCCCCCTCCCTTAATCTCACGTGAGATTTTTTTAAATGCATGGTTTTAATGTAAATAAGTTAATCTGTGCTTAATTCCATTAGATTTATTTAAAAAAACAATTTGCTTATAATTGTTTACTTAATTTAACCCAGTTTTCTAGCAATTTTAAATTTTTTCTTTTGGAAAAAAGAATTACGTGATATTTGCCGAGACCCCCCCCTCCCCCACACGTGAGATTTGGTGAGGTTTGACTCGACCCCCTCCCCCCCCTAAACACCTCACGTAATTAATGAACGGCCCCTTGGCTGTGCCAGCAAATTTAGCGGTGCCAATCTAGTAAAAATAAAACTTATTTTAATTAACAAATTAATACTTTATTGCAAATTAAAGTACCTATCATAAAAAATTAAAAACAAAATAAAAGTAATATAAATTGTTAATTTGTAGTTTATTGGCTAAATTAAAGTTTAAACTGCCATATATATTTTTGCGTTTCTTAAGTTGGCAGCAGGAATTTGAAATGCCAATTTTAAAAAGTGCTAAGATTTACATAAAAAATACACTGTAATAGTCAATTTACCTAGGGAATTTGTGTTAAGAAATCTGAAATTATTTGTGAATGTCTGATGCCTCACAAAATCATAAATTAAATTTTGAAGACATTCTATGGAAACTCCTAAATGGAGATGCTACCTTAAGCTAAATATAACTGTCTTAAAAATGTCAATTTAATCTAGATAGTGTTGATATTTCAAATTATTTGAGAACTGCGCATTTTTTTCCAATGCCATTTTAATAGACTTGTAATTACGCAACTTTTCTCTAAAAAAGATACTATACCTACATAGGAAACTTGATGCACCCTGTATATCCCAAATAAATGACAATTAAAATGATATCTCGAGATAACTGATCAGTTATCCATAAACCTTATACTATAGTAAAAACAAATTTGTATTATGTAATGTTATACGGTTTTTGTTTTATTCAGCATCTTATCTTAATTTATTTTAAATTGATAAAATCCTCAAAACAAAGGGGCCATCCATAAATCTCGTGACGCTAAAAATGGTCGAAATTTACCCCTCCCCCCTTAAGGGGACATAATTGGTTATGCGACGAATTGTTGAACCCCTAAAAGTATGTCCGATTCTTTTTTGTATAATCTTAGTCAGATAGGAATAAATAAGCAACTTTACAAAATTAATTAATAATGATCTAGAACGAGATAGGTAATCTAGTTAGGAAATACAGCTGTACCTATTTAGATAAAACTGCTAACTTAATTAAGTAGCATGTGCTTATAAAAGCCGGCTATAACTGTCTTAAAAATGGCATTCTTAAGACAGTAACGTAAGCTAGATGTAACTGTCATAAGAATGCCAACTTAAGCTAAATATATTTATTAAGTAGGTAATTGACACGTTTTTTGATATTTGGAATCGTATCTTAACTTATTAAAATTGATAAATGCGCATGAAAACAAAGACGATTTTGGGAAAAAGTAATTAATAGAATTGTGCACATACCTTGTCTGAGTGCATTAACCTCGTATTTTCGGCCTTTTGTTAATCACTGCCAGACAAATTTAAACGAAGAACGTATTTTTCAATGAGCAAGATCGAAGTCCAATGAAATCGCTCAGCGGTCGGTCACGTGACTGGCAGCGAGTAAGGTGGCAAAACTGATTTGACATAACCTTATATTATGGTGTCGTCGTGCAAAGAGTGATATTGTGCAGAGAAAAGTCCTTATTCGCTTTAGTAAAGATTGATATTTAAAGTTTATTTTTCTGTTATAAATGTAATATTTAATCCAGCAGCAAGATGGCTAATGCACTGTTTGATATTGAATTGCGTGACGAGATTGAAACTGATGAAGCATATGATAGCGATGATGCTATCGAAGTTGAAGAGGTAAATCTTAAATAACCAAATTAATTGTGCCCAATAATGTCCCATCTTTGCTCTCCACCGAAATTTTTAAGTCAGGATAACTCCTTAGTTACTGTGTCAGCAATATTGCAATATCACTTGGAAACCTTTATGTTAAGTGTTTAGTTATTCTTTCAAAATATTAACTATTTCATATAACTGTGTTGAAATTTTCTCTATGTCAAGGCTGTCTAAATTTATTTAATTTCATTTGTTTTACTTGATAAATGACCGAAGACTAGTACAAACCAAATCTAAATTATTAACATTTTCACAATATTTGGAAAACGGTCAACATTAAAAAAACGTAGGGATAAGTGTGTAAAGCTAATATATAGCATATTATATAAATTTCAACACATAACCATACTTTTTTAGAATTACTAGCTATAGCTATAGATGTAACTGTCTTATAAAGTTGAAATTCAGCTAATTATAACTAGAGACCCTCCATGAAGAATCTTTAGTTATTAGTGCCTTTAGAACGACATATAACTGTTTTAAAAATGTCAACATAAGCTAGTGATCTAATAATGTCAACAATAAATTATTATAAAAAAAAAATATCTTTTGAGAATGTCAACGTAAGCTAGATATATAACTGTATTCAATTTTTTAACTTAGATATGTAGTTAAAATTGTTTAAAAACTTTCTTAAGGTGTATCTTTATTTGATAAATAAATAACAGTTGGCTGTGACAGCAAATTCATCTGTGCCAATCTAGTAAAAATAAAACGTATTTTAATTAACAAATTAATACTTTATTGCAAATTAAAGTACCTATCATAAAAAATTAAAAAAAAATAAAGGTAAATAAGTTACAATATAAATTGTTAATTTGTAGTTTATTGGCTAAATTAAGGTTTAAACTGCCATATTTTTGCCTTTCTTAAGTTGGCAGCAAAAATTTGAAATGCCAATTTTAAAAAGTGCTAAGATTTACATAAAAAATACACTGTAATAGTCAATTTACCAAGGGAATTTGTGTTGTTAAGAAATCTGAAATTATTTGTGAATGTCTGATGCCTCACAAAATCATAAATTAAATTTTGAAGAAATTCTATGGAAACTCCTTAAATGGAGATGCTACCTTAAGCTAAATATAACTGTCTTAAAAATGACAATTTAATCTAGATAGTGTTGATATTTTAACAACAAAAAAATTAATTAATCTAATGCAGACAATTTTTTCTTGAAAAACTGAATAATGAATGTTTTTTTTATTTTTAGGGTATATTTGACCAAACAGTCGATATCAATGAAATTGTTCCGTAAGTATACACCCCTTTAACAAAACAAACAAAAGTTCATATTACCACTATATCTAGTGAATTTGTTTGCATTTCCTTCTTAAATATTAAATTTAATCACTAAAAGTTGTAGGGAGTGCTATGGCAAATATAATCTGTCTATTGTTTTGCACCCTTTTGTTTTGCAAACAAATATATTTATTAAAATGTGTAATATTATAATATCATTTTTTTACTCTCATACTTTAATTTGTTTATTAGACATTATGATACAGATTTGTCATTACAATACAGATTTTTAACAAAATCAACTATTGCCTTGGACATCTGACAGATATAATATTTATCAATTTTAATTATTTACTTAAGTTTTTTTAAAGGTATTTTTCTACTTTATTATGCCAGTTATATAAAAAATAATGTATGCAACTTTCATTTAATTTAATTGTAGTACCATAATATTCATATTATTATGGTACACAAAGGACTATGATTTTAGGTTATGTTTTAAAACATACAAAATATAAATATTTGTTTTTATACATATGACGTACAGGTTTTAAAAGATTTGCATAATTAAAATTTTAAATACATATAAATATATTCTAAGTACTTATGTGTATTTTGCATTAATTTAAAAATAAAACATAAATTCAACAAAACGTTAAATATTTTTAGGTTTGATAAAACTTCGTTTGATAAATTAAAATGTAAATAAACAAGATTAAAATTTAATTTAATTTTCTTAAAAGCAATAATTGAACCAATTGATTTAATGATTAGAATCTAATATGGAGACAGTTACCTTGATTAATTTCTTCTAATGTAGTCTAACCTTGCTGTAATAAATATTTTACAATAAAAAGTACAGTTAATAGATAATATACATAAACATTGAATATGACATTGTATTTATAAAAAACATACATTGTATATGTGAAGGAAGTCTATTTATTCAATTTTAAAGATTTTTATTGAATGTTTATACATTTGTACTCCAATAGAACCATTGACTGGTTTTTAAAACTTAAGTAAATTATTGACAAACATTGGATAATGGATGTAATTTTTATTATTTATTTAAAAAAAAAATACATTCTAAAAGTTGCCATTCTTTACCTACCTGGTACTTGGTTCTGTCCCTAATAATATGGCAACCACCTTGAAAAGAAATTTTGACATTTAATACGCTAAAGAAGTATCGCTAGTAGCGCCACCACTCGGCTGTTATCATCGTAACAAAAGTACAACTTTTGATAATCAGCTGTCAAACGCGTGTGTTACAAACGAGTGTTTTTGAGAATAAAGCCGGAATATCTTTAAAAATATCGAAAAAAACCGTGGCACGATTTGTTGTGTTGTTGGGTGTATTTCGAGAGGAAATCCTGGGTTGAGTTTTTATCGGTTTTCCATAAACAGTGTTAATCCGAATGAAGAAATAAATTTCATACAGTCCCTGTAAATATAAATTGTATCTATTAGATACAATAAATACACCTTTTAGTAATGATTAACGTGAAAAGTGTAAACATTTCAAATCAGTAAAAATCGTCAAACAAATAAGTAAGTCGTCTAAATTTAAACAGCATTTAGCATTATTAAAAGCGTTGATTAAGAAAGTCTCCACTCAACGGTAAAATACCATTATATTATGTATTATATATAATATTATGTCGCCATGAATTCGTAGGTATATTTTGTTGTTTAAAATGCAGTTGTCGGCGTTTTTTAGAGAACTCAAATATAAAAATGGTTGATTTTAAGGTTACGTTTGTGCAAAAATTATTTTTTACTAATTTCTTAAAAATGTCCAAACTGAAATATAAATTATATTAGGTAAGGTTATCATTAGTTAATTCTGCACCAAAAAATGTTCTTACCGAATTGGATGCTTTGGCAAAACATGAAAATGCAACGATTTGGTTCTTGAATTTTATTTACAATTAAAAACACAATAATTCACCATGATTCCTTAGATAAAATACACACACTAACGTAACTATGTAAGCATTTAAGCGTTGAGTTTTTTAATCAATTATATAAAGAATAATCAATCGAAATCGAGTACTAAACCAGTTTTTTAGTTTTTTCCTTGCAACGTAAAACACAAATGTAGCTGTGCAATTGAACAAAATTTGTTGAGTAAGACTTCTGCCTTCCTCTCTTCTGTGAAAAAACTACCTATTCATTTAAAAATGATGTACAGTTCGTATGCTTTTAATGTATAAAAAATGGTGCAACCGAAATCGTCTTATTTTAAATTCTGAAAAAACTGAATATGTATACTTCTCTCTTCATTTAAGTGGATTGAGTAACCTTAATAACCTTAATTTAAAAATATTGAAAAAGGTGAAATTTTTGGGGCTAATAGTGGATGCTCAGATAAACTGGGATAACCATATATATAACCTTTGCCAAAAACTAAGCGCTTGAAACTTTGCCTTAATGACACTAAACAACAGTCTTATACATCACTCTTAAATGCCTATTATGGACTTTTTTACTCGCACATATCTTATAATATAATTTTTTGGGGAAGAGGAACATCAGCAAATAGAGTATTTATTATGCAAAAGCGCGCAATCCGAATAATGTTTAACCTACCTGGTAGGGCTTCCTGTAGAGATACTTTTATAAATAAAAAATTACTAACGTATGGAATTTATATATATATAGCAAATATGAAGTTTGTTTTTATTAACTTAGGAAAATTCCCAACTAATAGTAATTTTCACTCATATTCCACAAGAAGTGGCTCAAGATTATGTGTACCGAGACACACAACTTCTTTGTTTAAAAAGTCACCCTATTTTTCTGGCATCAAAAATGTTAACAATTTGCCCAATTATATTAAGGAAACAAAAAATTATAATGTTTTTAAAATAAAACTGAAAGACTTTTTAATTAAGGAATGTCCTTATGAACTGAATAAGTTTTTAGAATAAATTTGTAGGTATCTCCGAGTATATTTAATTGTAGTTCGTGTATTGTATTTCTGTGACTTGTCCTATACATATGAATGTATCGAAGTCCACCAGATGGCGCGCGCGTTTCGAAAACCCGACACTTCTTTAGCGTATTGGGTAAATTTTAACGAAAAACTCTTTTAGCTCGGAGGGCGTGGAAACGGTGCAGCTGTCCGAGCACCTGATGCGCGAGCAGGAGAAAACGGGGCCGCAGGACTTCGAGCTGCGGCGCGTGCTGGGCAAAGGGGGCTACGGGAAGGTGTTCCAGGTGCGCAAGGTGACCGGCAAGGACACCGGCAAAATTTTCGCGATGAAGGTGCTGCGCAAGGCGTCCATCGTGCGAAACTCCAAGGACACCGCGCACACCAAGGCCGAACGAAACATCCTCGAGGAGGTCAAGGTAGGCAACCCGCGCTGTTTCGTTTTCGCCCGGCTCGGCCGTCTGTCTCTGTTTTGACTGCGTTCGAGGTCGACGAGGTCGAAGAACTGTAACGATCAGGTGCAGGTTCAATGTACAGATTTTATCGATCATTAGAACAAATTCGATTATTACTTTGGGATTTTTTAAATTACTTTGGCATACAGCTAATTAAAAAATTATATACAATTTTGTGAAAATAAATATAGTGTCATCAGGGCTCCCACACCTCCTAAAACTCATAAAATTCCTAAAATTTGGCTTAAATCTTGAAAACTCCTAAAATTGCATTCAATCTCCTAAAACTCCTAAAATCCTAAAAATTAAATTTAAATAAGCCAACCTGACTGCGTTTAATTAAGGTAGTTGTCGTGCTAAAAAAAATCTTTTTTAAAAAGTAATAATTAAATTATTTAAAAATATATATTTTTAGGTTTTATTTTATTAAATTCTTTTTAAAATAATATAATATCACAACCAAATTTTTTCTTAAAAAACAACATAAAAATATCAAACAAAAGGATTTTTAATTTTCTTTTAAATGACAGCTAAAATAGTGAACAATCTAAAGAATGTTTTGCTGTATTTTGCAAACTTCATATTTTGTTATGAGATTTTTAAGTAATAAGATCCACATTACAATTGAATCGGTGAGAATAAGAACAGTACAAGTCCAAAAATTTAATTTTGACCATTTATTTTCTAAAATCAATTTTAAAGTTTAAAATACATTTTTGTGAGAAGAAATAAATTATTTTACAGAATATGAATATTATATTTCATAAAATAGTTAAAATATTCCAACAAAAATGCATTTAGAATAATTCTAAATGCATTTTTGTTGGAAGATTTTAACTATTTTATGAAATATAATATTTATATTCTGTAAAATAATTTATTTCTTCTCACAAAAATGTATTTTAAACTTTAAAATTGATTTTAGAAAATAAATGGTCAAAATTAAATTATTATAAAACTGATTTTTGAAATATTTTATCAAAAATTTTACTTTTGGACTTGTACTATTCTTAATCTTACCGATTCAATTACTGTTAGTTATTAACTAAACGGTTAACATATTTGTTCTTAAAATATAAATCACTATTTGATTTTGGCCTAGTTTTTTAGCCAAATCTATCGACGAATTTTTTTAAATAAAATTAAAAGTGTGGTGAAATTTATACTTGTATACAAAAGTTTTAATTTTACTTCACTTTTAATTTTATTTAAAAAAAACTCGTCAACCGTTCTTTTATGAAATATAATATTCATATTCTGTAAAATAATTTATTTCTTCTCACAAAAATGTATTTTAAACTTTAAAATTGATTTTAGAAAATAAATGGTCAAAATTAAATTATTATAAAACTGATTTTTGAAATATTTTATCAAAAATTTTACTTTTGGACTTGTACTATTCTTAATCTTACCGATTCAATTACTGTTAGTTATTAACTAAACGGTTAACATATTTGTTCTTAAAATATAAATCACTATTTGATTTTGGCCTAGTTTTTTAGCCAAATCTATCGACGAATTTTTTTAAATAAAATTAAAAGTGTGGTGAAATTTATACTTGTATACAAAAGTTTTAATTTTACTTCACTTTTAATTTTATTTAAAAAAAACTCGTCAACCGTTCTTTTATGAAATATAATATTCATATTCTGTAAAATAATTTATTTCTTCTCACAAAAATGTATTTTAAACTTTAAAATTGATTTTAGAAAATAAATGGTCAAAATTAAATTATTATAAAACTGATTTTTGAAATATTTTATCAAAAATTTTACTTTTGGACTTGTACTATTCTTAATCTTACCGATTCAATTACTGTTAGTTATTAACTAAACGGTTAACATATTTGTTCTTAAAATATAAATCACTATTTGATTTTGGCCTAGTTTTTTAGCCAAATCTATCGACGAATTTTATTAAATAAAATTAAAAGTGTGGTGAAATTTATACTTGTATACAAAAGTTTTAATTTTACTTCACTTTTAATTTTATTTAAAAAAAACTCGTCAACCGTTCTTTTATGAAATATAATATTCATATTCTGTAAAATAATTTATTTCTTCTCACAAAAATGTATTTTAAACTTTAAAATTGATTTTAGAAAATAAATGGTCAAAATTAAATTATTATAAAACTGATTTTTGAAATATTTTATCAAAAATTTTACTTTTGGACTTGTACTATTCTTAATCTTACCGATTCAATTACTGTTAGTTATTAACTAAACGGTTAACATATTTGTTCTTAAAATATAAATCACTATTTGATTTTGGCCTAGTTTTTTAGCCAAATCTATCGACGAATTTTTTTAAATAAAATTAAAAGTGTGGTGAAATTTATACTTGTATACAAAAGTTTTAATTTTACTTCACTTTTAATTTTATTTAAAAAAAACTCGTCAACCGTTCTTTTATGAAATATAATATTCATATTCTGTAAAATAATTTATTTCTTCTCACAAAAATGTATTTTAAACTTTAAAATTGATTTTAGAAAATAAATGGTCAAAATTAAATTATTATAAAACTGATTTTTGAAATATTTTATCAAAAATTTTACTTTTGGACTTGTACTATTCTTAATCTTACCGATTCAATTACTGTTAGTTATTAACTAAACGGTTAACATATTTGTTCTTAAAATATAAATCACCATTTGATTTTGGCCTAGTTTTTTAGCCAAATCTATCGACGAATTTTTTTTAAATAAAATTAAAAGTGTGGTGAAATTTATACTTGTATACAAAAGTTTTAATTTTACTTCACTTTTAATTTTATTTAAAAAAAACTCGTCAACCGTTCTTTCTAAAAAACTAGTCAATATAACTTATTTTTACAAAAAAAGTAAGTATTAATTTTTGTCTTATTTTAAAAGTAGTAAAGAGTTGTTTTTATTTAATTAAAGAAATTCATTTCCATACTTTATCCTAAAATTTTACAAAAAACCTCCTAAATTCCTAAATAAAATTTGTAATTTAGCCGTGGGAGCATTGTGTCATTTACAAGCCTATTAAAATGAAATTTATAAATTTGAAAAAAATCCAGCGATTTTCAAAATATTTGAAAAAAACTAAATAGTTATTGGACACTTAAGAAATATTATTTATTTTAAATTTATATATGCCGTTCATTAAAAGATTTTAGTTTTTTTATAAATATATAAAAAGGATAGTTTGTTTGTTTAAACTTTATTTACATTTACTTAAAAATGTAAAAACATGCAAAAAATTATAGTAATTGGACACATTTTTTATAAACATAACAAATTTACATCAAATAACATAAATTGTTAAATATTTTTTAAAGATAAATTGCTGTTTTAGGTAATTTTTTTTATTTCGTTTTTGTAAATATCATATAATTCATATATTTCTTTCTCGGATTCCTCATCCCTTTCCTGGGTTCTGAAGGTAACTACTAATTCCTTGGTCTGACTTTTGAAATAGTTTGTTGTTATTCTGCAAGATGCCCTGTGATGAAGATATCACTATATTACTTACTCTCTAAAAATAAATTAGTCAAAAATGTCATAGCGAAAAAGCAGCAACTAATAATTCTCGTCAACAGTAATTTGTATCCAGGACATTTAGCAGTCAATTCCTATGAAATATTATTCACTGAATCCGAAAATGTCGTCAACACTTATAAAAGTAGAACAGTTTTTGAAATGTAATCAATTTTACATATAATATGGAATTGACTATATCTCAAAAACTGCTTAACTTTTTTAGTTTTCGGACTAGGGGACAATTTTACATAAGAATTGGCTGGTAAATGTCCGGGATATAAATAGAGTATGATATTGGACGTATGTCCAATAATAGAAATATACATTTTTTACCAACCAGTAATTGGCCATTTTAATGTTTGTTTTCAGAATTAAAATTAAAACGCATTAAAGTGACAATGTTTAAACCACGAGGAACACATTTATACCACACACTGATCTGTACACTTTTTTGAAATATTTTTTATTGCAATTTAAACACAGCCCTGCTCTTAGCAAAAAAACAAAAATCTTACCACCAAAGTAACGTGCGAACTTTTTTGTCCTAAATTGGACCCAAAATAAAGTAGTTCTATATTATTACCGACTGAGATAGTTATAATTGTATACAGCGTCATCTAATGATTTGACTTTAAGGTAACTATTTATAGAACTCTTGTTTTTATAGTATTAATATTAATTGTCCAATAACTATAAAGTGTCTACTTTACCCTATTTTTTAAAACCATAAATCCTGTAATTTCGTTATTCTTGGGAGTTTAGAAAAAAGTAAATCTTACATGTAAACGTATAAATTTATCTACATTTTCATCAAATTTCTTTGCTACTATATTTTCAGTTACCATATTTTGTTATGGTGGCCATTATAAAAACAAGAAACATAACTCAAAATATAGTATGGCCCAAAACTTATGTAGTTTGATATATCGTTGGATTTCTTGTTTTTTTCTATCTAACCATGTAAAATTCCAATAAGGCATCCATGGGAAAAACAAGACAGTGGTGGTAACTTAGAATCTACTGTATGTTTACAAGGAAAACTTTTTTCTAAATTCACAGGAATAACGAAGTAACAGTTTTTGGTTTAGACAGGTTTTCAGTTTTTTTTAATTATTTGAGAAACGCAGATTTGTTTTTTAATTTTTAATTGCGCAAAATATGAAAAAATTTCCTAATTTTATCTTTTATCTTGGGTGAATCAGCTCTTAAAATGTTTGATTGGAATTCGAAATCATCCTGTAGATGTTTATTAAATCCCAGTATCTATCATGCCATAACATTGTTAATTAATTTATTTTTTTACATATTTATAAAAGTTTTTTTCGACCTAACAAAGTCCTTTTTCTTCTATAGTGACATATTACACTACTTATATTTATTAAAATTCCTATAATCATGTTTTTTTACACGTTGCATGCATGCAGTTGGGTTGCCAGATTCTGTCAAAAAAATAAAGGACATTTTGTGACAATTTACCTTAATTACAAAAATGACACAATCAACAATACTTAGGTAACGTCAAATTCACAATAACAATATTGTTTTTTAATTAAGGTAAATTCTCACAAAATGTACTTTATTTTTTTGACAGAATTTGGCAATCCCACCGTGGGATGGTTCTGCGTTAAGCAACGTAATAATTCGTAAAAATATTTCCACAAAAAATATCTTAATTTCTATTAATTCTGATTTTAATACCCACTGAATAACCTTGATTTTTACTTTTTGCCATAAAGTGGTCATAAAAATAAACACTTAAAGATATTAACTTTTATGAAGCATGCGGGCTTTTTATGACGAATTATTAAATATTTGTGAATTAATTAATAATGATGAATGATATTGTATTGTATCTTTTATTAAGGGGTTCGAGCACGATATTAGTCGCTATGAAAAAATTGTCTACTTAAAAGACATTTACAAAGTTTTAGAAAGTCTGGTTTTCGAGTAAAAAATTATTATCGCGTTGGAAAATGATTGGCATAAAATATGTCAATTTTTGACCAAACGTAACGAAAATGACGATTTATATGTCCAAATAAACCCCAATAAATATAAAATATCGGAAAAATTTGACTAAATTCTTTTCAAAACCTTGTTTCTTTGAGTTGGTTCTACCTTGAATAAAATAATCTGTGTAAATTGCCATGTTGTGTCAAACACAACACCATTTATGTAGTATTTACTTTTCCACGTGTATTAAATTATCTCTTTTATTTCAGCACCCTTTCATTGTAGACTTAATATATGCCTTCCAAACGGGCGGGAAATTATATTTAATTTTAGAATATTTAAGTGGGGGCGAACTCTTCATGCACCTTGAGAGAGAGGGTGTGTTTCTTGAAGACTCGGCTTGGTAAATACAGCATTACCAACTTTTCTTACACAGGGTGTCCCATAACTAATGGACAATAGAGCAACTGTAGAAATAGGTCAAAATAGGTCGATTAACACATATATATTTTAGTAAAATGTTAATAATAAACGATATCCAGGACAATAAAAAATTTGTTATACACTCACAGGCAAAATAATCTATCCACACAAATTTTTGATGAATTTCAATCGCAAATAACTTTTTTATTTGATTTCGAATTTAAACAAATATTAAAGAATATTGCAGATACATTAATGGAGAATCGCTAACATTTTAAAAATTACTAAAAAATAGACGTAAGTTTATAATATACAGGTTTAAACAAAAAGATGTTTTTTACCATAAGTTTAAGACACTCTGTAGAGTGGCAAAACCGTATGTTGTTCTAAATTAAGTTTTAATTATCAAGTCACATCTATTTTTAACAGTTTTGTTTTTGGTTCACCTCGATATATTTATTTTTGTGGAAAATATGGATTTTTTAAAAAAACAATGCAATTCCCAATATTTTTCTGTATGAAGAACTAAGGTTGCTATGGTCCATCCATAGGCTATGGAGAATGACAGTGACAGTTTTGTTGAATCATCCCATACTTGGACATGTCATACACAGCTTTCAAAAGCTATCAAATTGTTTTTTGCAAATTAATGTTTAAATTTTGAGGTGTATTCTTACTTTAAAAAATGGATATGTCTCCGACTGATGTTGCCAGAGTTATTAATTTAATCCAGGATGGACGGTCACAGTTTTACGTGGCACGTGTTTTAAACGTCACAAGAAGTAAAGTATAAAGGGCAACATCAGTCGGAGACATTTTTAAAAGTATGAAGACACCTCAAAATTAACACATTAATTTACAAAAAACAATTTGATAGCTTTTAAAAGCCGTGTATGACATGTTCAAGTATGGGATGATTCAACTGTCACTGTCATCCTCCATAGGCTATGGATGGACCATAGCAACCTTAGTTCTTCATACAAAAAAATATTGGAAATTGCAATGTTTTTTTAAAAAATCCATATTTTCCACAAAAATAAATATATCGAGGTGAACCAAAAACAAAACTGTTAAGAATAGATGTGACTTGATAAATAAAACTTAATTTACAACAATATACGGTTTTGCTACTCTACAGAGTGTCTTAAACTTATGGTAAAAAACATCTTTTTGTTTAAACCTGTATATTATAAACGTACGTCTATTTTTTAGTAATTTTTTAAAATTTGAGCGATTGTTCATTAATTTATCTACAATATTCGTTTAAATCCGATATCAAATAAAAAAGTTATTTGCGATTGAAATTCATCGAAAATTTGCCTGTGAGTGTATTTGTGTTAATCCACCTATTTCTACAGTTGCTGTATTGTCTATTAGTTATGGGACACCCTGCATAACATGTGTTACAATCAACTTCTTGCAGCTTCTATCTGGCAGAGATAACGTTGGCGCTGGAGCACCTGCACCAGCAAGGCATCATCTACAGGGACCTGAAGCCGGAGAACATCCTTCTGGACGGGCAGGGCCACATCAAGTTGACGGACTTCGGCTTATGCAAGGAGCACATCCGCGAGGGAATACTCACGCACACCTTCTGCGGCACGATAGAGTACATGGCGCCCGAAATACTCACCAGGCACGGCCACGGCAAAGAGGTCGACTGGTGGTCGCTGGGGGCGCTGCTCTACGACATGCTCACAGGCGCCGTAAGTAGAGACACACTTTTTCATGATTTTCAAATTCATGTAGAGTAGACTGGACCAAAAAAATCGACTATTTTTTTTTGGAAAGTATATCGAAAATATGGTTTGCGGTGACAAAAAAAAATTATGGTGATAGTTTGAGTCCATAATATTAACATTAAGAGGTCTATCATCGCAATTTTAGATTATTTTTCCTGAGCGAGTTTTTGTCTCAGAACTACCAAATCATTGAGTTTAACAAAATTGTCTTAAGAATATTTTTTGAAGAAAATTGAATGCTCTACAAAAAAGGTTTGATTGGAATTTCCCGTCAGATGAACCATTTTCTTACAATCATGCCTTAAAAATTGGTATAGTTTTACAATTTGATCTTTTAACTTTGGAATTTTGTAATTCAAGTAAAAATCAGTACCCTGAAAAAAAATATATATATTCTTATGGGAAATCAAATGCTCTACATCGGTTTTTTATGGGTACTGATTTTTACATGAATTACAAAATTCCAATTTAAAAGATCAAAATGAAAAACTATACCAATTTTTAAGGCATGATTTTAAGGAAACGGTTCATCTGACGGAAAATTTCACTTTAACCTTTTTTATAGAGCAATTAGTTTTCTTAAAAAAATATTTTTAAGTCAATTTTGTTAAACTCAATGGTTTGGGAGTTCTGAGCCTAAAACTAGCGGAGGAAAAAAAAATTAAAATTGCGATGATAGACCTCTTAATATTAATATTCTCAAAATTTCACCATAAACCCCAAACCATATTTTCGATATACTTTAAAAAAAAATAGTTGATTTTTTTGGCCCAGTCTAATGTAGAGTATGAAATTTTGTTCTCTAAAAAACAATATCAAATTCTTGTAGAACATTTATTCATTGGTGGTTAAGTCGGAACATTCCGTGGATCAAAAAAGAAAGCCAAAAAATTTCGAATTTTCTTATTACGGTATTCGTTAGGATTGAGCGTTGCACGATTTTCATCTAAAAATCTAAAAACTAGAAACTTCAAGCTTCAAATTGCTTTTTTTACGGCTCCAATACGACCATTTTTAACGAAGATACATTTAATATTTAGTTTAATGTTAGTTTTAGCCTTGACAATATTATGTCAATCATCTTGTTTCAACTGTACTTGATTTTATGCTAAATAAAATCTTTTTAATTTAAGGATGGGTTAATATTTAAAAGAAATTTAATGTACACTCACAGGCAAAATAATCGATCCACTCAAATTGTCGATGAATTTCAATCGCAAATAACTTTCTTAATTGATTTCGGATTTAAACAAATATTAAAGAATATTGTAGATAAATTAATGGAGAATCGCTCACATTTTAAAAATTAGTAAAAAATAGACCTACGTTTATAATATACAGGTTTAAACAAAAAGATGTTTTTTACCATAAGTATAAGACACTCTGTAGAGTGGCAAAACCATATATTGTTCTAAATTAAGTTTTAATTATCAAGTCACATCTATTTTTAACAGTTTTGTTTTTGGTTCACCTCGATATATTTATTTTTGTGGAAAATATGGATTTAAAAAAAAACATTGCAATTTCCAATATTTTTCCTGTATGAAGAACTAAGGTTGCTATGGTCCATCCATAGCCTATGGAGGATGACAGTGACAGTTTTGTTGAATCATACCATACTTGGACATGTCATATACAGCTTTCAAAAAGTATCAAATTGTTTTTTGTAAATAATGTGTTAATTTTGAGGTGTCTTCTTACTTTTAAAATTGTCTCCGACTGAGGTTGCCCTTTGTACTTTACTTCTTGTGACGTTTAAAACACTTGCCACGTAATACTGTGACCATCCATCCTGGATTAAATTAATGGCTCTGGCAACATCAGTCGGAGACATATCCATTTTTTAGTAAGTAGTAAGTAAGAAGACACCTCAAAATTTAAACATTAATTTGCAAAAAACAATTTGATAGCTTTTGAAAGCTGTGTATAACATGTCAAAGTATGGGATGATCCAACAAAACTGTCACTGTCATTCTCCATAGCCTATGGATGGACCATAGCAACCTTAGTTCTTCAAACAGAAAAATGTTGGAAATCCATGTTTCCCACAAAAATATATCGAGGTGAATCAAAAACAAAATTATTAAGAATAGATGTGAGTTGATAATTAAAACTTAATTTAGAACAATATACGGTTTAGCTACTCTACAGAGTGTCTTAAAGTTATTATAAAAAACTTATTATTGTTGAAACCTGTATATTATAAACGTACATCTATTTTTTAGTAATAATTTAAAATTTGAGTGTTTCTGCATTAATTTATCTACAATATTCTTTATTATTCGTTTAAATCCGACATCAAATAAAAAAGTTATTTGCGATTGAAATTCATCGAAAATTTGTGTGGATCGATTATTTTGCCTGTGAGTGTATTTGTAGCCCAAGCAAATAATACTAAAATCAAGTGAATTTTTTTACGGACCCGATTTCTATTTTAGCCTCCGTTCACGGCCGACAACCGCAAAAAAACCATCGAAAAAATCCTGAAAGGTAAGCTGTGGCTGCCGCCGTATCTGACGTCGGACGCGCGCGACTTGATTAGGAAGCTGCTGAAGCGCCAAGTGACCGCCCGTCTGGGCGCCCAACCCGACGACGCGATCGCCGTCAAGAACCACCACTTTTTCAAGCACATCAACTGGGACGACGTCATCAGCAAAAAATACGATCCGCCTTTCAAACCGATACTGGTAAGGGAACAAATTAAAATGCTCGAAAAAATAGCAGATTTTTGACATTCTTTGGTTAATATTATTAAAAAAAAACAAAAAACGTTGTTGTAACTTTTATCAATTTTTAATATTTTTGATTTTATTTTCAGTCAAGTGATGATGATGTGTCTCAATTTGACACCAAATTCACCAGACAGACACCAGTTGATTCTCCTGATGATTCTAAACTTAGTGAAAGTGCCAATTTACTTTTTAAGGTATGTAATATTTCATGCATATTTTTTTAATTGTCAATCAAGTATCTTTTTATATTAAATTAAAATTATTAATTTATTAAATTTCCTTTGAAGCTTCACAAAACTGTTTTTATAAAAAAATTATAGGTGATTTATTATATAATATTTTGGCATCAAAATGTCGAAAATATTCTTCTTTTATTAGGCTATATAATAAATAAAAAAAAAGTATTTTATAAAAGTAGAGATAATTTGAATAATTATCTCTACTTTTATAAAATATTTCTTGCCTTTTTTTTTAATTTTATGTATAGCCTAATAAACGAAGAATATTTTTGAAAATTTTGATGCCAAAATATATAATAAATTATCTAGAATTTTTTTTTATAAAAACAGTTTTGTAATTCGTGCGTTTCGCGCGCCTGAAATGGCTCAAAAGTAAAAATAAAACCAACCTTTCTAATTTTTCACTTAACTTTATTTTGATACCCATGTCAAGAAGGTTGTGAAGAAATTGGAAATAATACTAAAAGTGAAAATTATTGTATTTTTTTAATTCAAAAATAGTAAAAAAGTATTTATATGTTTCTCAACGCCAATAGTCTAAATAAGAACATTCTCTTTATTTTTACTGTAAAAAACTGGATTTAAACTGTTTTTAGTCCATTTTTAGGAGATACATTTAGATTTACAAGGAAAAATTTGACATTTGCCGCCGATAATACAGATTCCCATTCTTATTATTTTCGTATAAATGTCGCTCTATACAAATATTTAATTTAAATCATTTTTAGATAATATTAAGTAGGTATTTGTCGTAGAAAAAGTATAGTATGCAACTTTCTTATAAACTTTTCTATACACTCATTTAATTAAGCTCTCGCTCGTGCCTAAATTAAATTTGTGACTAAAATGGCGTTTATCAAACTTAATACATAATATAGGTACTATTTGAAATTTCCACAGTTTTACTTTACCTCCGACGAACTGAAATGAGAATTTTAATATTTGACGAATTTAACCTCACTCTTTTGTCATTTCGATGATGAAATATTTCATTCTGTAACACGGAATATATGTCATTCCATAGATAAAAGTGATATTAGAACGGTCAAATTCTGTAATAAGAGTAGAAAAAATTAAGCAATGATGCCATTACAAAAGTTGACTTTTACATACCTAGTAGTCATAGAAATAATAGTTATTTGTTTTAAAGTGTTGAAAAGCGACTTTTTCAAGCAAGTGTAACACGAGCTTGAAGCTTTTCTCACATGTGAAACACAATATTTTTTCTACGACCCTTTTATTTTTATTATTTTCAAATACAAAACAAAATAACCTAAAAACGTGTTTGACAGCTGTTAAAATTACTTTCATCCTATTCTTTTAATTTTTAAGGTACAAGTTACTTAAAATCAATAAGCTTACCTTCTCAATTTAAATAAAGGCACTAAAAATTAGAATTTAGTATACAAACACAGTTAACTGTGTTCTAAATGATATTTAGTCAAACAAATACAAATACAATACAAATTTTGAAACGAATGTCAAACGATGCTGTCAATTTCTTTTCACACAGACCTGTCACTTTTCAAACAGAAATGTCACGTGTGTTTTGCCTCGCCAATGAAAAGATTCATTTTCTAAGCAATAATGCCATTACAAAATGTGCTGCCAACTTGAGAAACACAGAAATATGAAGTTTAAACCTTAATTTTGCCATTATACCAATAAATGAAAAATTTAAATTCTTACTTTTAGTTTTTATGTTGTTTAATTTAATTTGATAATACTTTCATTCGTAATAAAGTAGTAATTTGTGAATTAAAATACGTTTTATTTTGACTACATTGGCACCGCTGAATTTGTTGTCAGGGCCTACTGTTATTTATTTGTCAGACGCTTCACATTAAGAGAGTTTCTTTGCAAAGTTTTAACCGAAACATTCGCAGGGATTCACGTACATCGCGCCCTCCGTCTTGGAGGACATGTACAGCAGGTCCTCGCAGCGCGCGCAGATCGTGCGGGCGCGATCGCCGCGCAAAGTCGGCGGCCCGTTGCGCCACAACTTCGGCTCGATGACGATGGGCACGTCGCAGGGCGGCGGCGGCGGCGGCGGCATGATGCTCGACACGCCCGACATGGTGATGGCCTCCTCGCTCGGCATGAGCCTGGGCACCTCCGGCCCGCTAGGCATGAACATCGCCGCCGCCACCTCGTCGCACGTGACCCACCACCACAACCACCACCACCACCAGCCGCACCACCAGCAGGCCTACCACCCGCACCACCACCACCAGCAGCCCACGCAGCACTCGCCCTTCGCCTCAAACAGCCACTTCCCCACGCACCCAGCCGGCAACGCTGTACCGGAGGAGATGATGGAGGTTAGTCAAGGCCTACCTCAAGTATAGTATGCTTTCCTTACATTATACACCGTAGCTCGGTCGCTTTAGGGTTTTTCTGCGGAAAAATAGCGTTTAAAGAACCTCTTCCTTAATACCTTATATGCTAAAAAAACATTAAATATTGAAATTGACAAAAACTATTCTTTCTATAGAAAATGATCTCTATAGAAAGCAATAAACCAATCGGAGCACGGCATTCTCCACAGCACACTCGGTGGAAAAGAGAATGCCTACTATTAAACGAATTCCGATTGGTCGTCCAAAAATCGAGCGTGCTTAAACCACGCCCACACCTCGGAATCTATACGGTTCGCTTTTGTACTTGGTATGGAAAGTCGACTATCCTGTCTCTATTTATCCTTGGCTCCGCATCAAATTTGTTACTTCAACAAGAAATACAGTCAAACAATTGAATAGTACGAGCCCAAATTTAAATTGTTTACAAGTTATTTTATAAAATCATTTTTTTATTTTAAAATGCATTTTTTTGAGAATATTTTAGCTATTTTATAAAATATAATAACCATATTTTGTACAATAGTTGAAACATTCTCACAAAAATGCATTTCACACTATAAAAATAATTTTATAAAATACCTAATTGGTCAAAATTTTTAATTTTGGATTCAATTGAGTTATTTTAACGCTAATTTCGTCTTATTTTCTGAAAATAATACAATATATGGTTTTTGTGTTATAATTTAAGACCTTTTCTAGCGTTTAAAGAACCTCTTATATGCTAAAAAAACATTAAATATTGAATATTTTTTTAAAAGAAACCTTTTTGTAATAAAAACTTACCAGTCAAATGTTGAAATATTTTTAACAATTTAAAAAGATTAAAATACAAAATAACCAGGAGGTTGCAACTTTTCTTTCTACAAAAAATGATCTCTATAGAAAGCAATAAACCAATCGGAGCGCGGCATTCTCCACAGCACACTTGGTGGAAGAGAAAATGCCTACTATTAAACGAATTCCGATTGGTCGTCCAAAAATCGAGCGTGCTTAAACCACGCCCACACCTTGCAATCTATACGGTTCGCTTTTGTACTTTGTATGGAAAGTATCAAAAAGTGATACTTCAACAAGAAATACAACAATTGAATCAGTACAAGGCCAAAACTTAAGGTATTTTATAAAATATTTTTTTAATATAAAATTAATTTTTTTAGAGTATTTTAACTATTTTATAAAATATAATAACCATATTTTGTGCAATAGTTGAAACATTCTCATAAAAATACATTTTGAACCATAAAAATAACTTTATAAAATAATTTGTCAAAATTTTAAATTTTGGACTTGTACTGCTCTTGAACTGTATCTGCCAGTTATTTTAACGCTAATTTCGTCTTATTTTCTGAAAATAATTCAATGTTTGGTTTTTGTTATAAATTAATACCTTTATTTGCAAAAATACATATATTGTAGTATTATAAGAAAATAAGACGAAATTAGCGTTAAAATAACTGGCAGATACACAACCTCAATTATACTAAAAAATATATTTTTTATAATTATTTTATGATATATCATAAAAAATGTTACAAAGATCGTAAAATTCTTTACTATAATAGTATAATATCAGTTAAATCCTAGGAATTTTGAAAAAAATTAAGTTTAACATGTAAATGGTAAATAAAATTGTTTAATACAGATTCTGTATTACAGAAGTGAACTGTTGTCTTTCAATACATGACAGTTGAAAATATTTTAAATTTATAAAAGTTCACTTCTGTAATACAGAATCTGTATTAAACAATTTTATTTGCAATCAATTTTTGCAATACCTTTCAATCATCATTTTTTAATAAAAATAATTTCTTACCTATAATTTATTTGGGTAAATCTTAAACAAATATTTAATAAAATTATTTAGATTAAATTGGTAAAGTTACTTTTTTTAGTATTTAAAAATAGTGTAGACATTTAAAATAAAAACACATATAAAACATTTTTCACCAAAACTCAAAATAATTGAAAATCAAAAAATATTTTTAAAATAAAATGTAAAAGTTTAAGTTAAAAATATTGGTTTTTAAAAATTATAGTTTTAATACACTGCGCAATCTTTATGAAATTTTGTATAAAAATACTTCAACTTATGTATATCTCAGTTTACGTGTTCGAGGGTTTTTCGAGAAAATATTTTTAAAGCCCTTTTATTTAATATTATAATTCGTTCGAAAAATAACTTTTAGGGAATTTTTTTAACTAAATAAAAAATATGCTGTTAAAGACCTTATTTTTGTTAGTATACCCTGAAAATTTTCTACAAATCAAACGAACATTAACGAAGATACAGTGCTTTAAAGTCGGTAAAAATTACCCCTTTTTGGTTATTTTGCTGAAAAGTGGTCATTTTTAATGACCTTGAAGCGCTGTATTTTTGTTACTGTTTGATTTGAACAAAATTTTTAGGGTATACTAAAAAAATACGGCCTTTCACAGCATATTTTTTATTTAAAAATTTCCCTATAAAAGTTTTTTTTCTGGCGTTTTTTATTATTAAATAAAACGGCTTTAAGGATATTTTCTCGAAAAACCCTTGAACACGTAAACTGAGATATAAGTATTTTTCTCCAAAATTTTATAAAGATTGGTAAAGGCGTTTTAGAGTTGGATTTTTTAACTTGTTATGCGTTAATTTTTGACTATCAATTGTTTTAAGTTTAAAAAAAATTTACTATGTAAATTTATGTTAAAACATCATCAAAGTGGCCCAATGTATGACTTAAAAATATTTTTTTAAAGAAACCTTTTTGTAATTAAAAATTATTTGTTTTTAATGATTTAAAAAGATGGAATTACCATTTTATGACATATCATAAAAATGGTACAAAGATCCTTACATTTTTACTGTAATAGTATAAAAATCTTTAAAATTAGCATTATTTTGTTTTATACAGGGTGCACCAAATATCCTTCTATGTATAGGTATATTTTTAATTTGAAGAACTACAAGTTCGGTTAAATTAGATATGTTAACATACACTACATTTTCATCCAATTTGTGATTTTTTGAAATTTGACATGATTAGATAGAAAAAAAATCAACAAATACACATAGAAGGATACTGGTTCACCCTGTATATAGAGGGTGGTCTTTGGGAAAACTATAAACGCTTATTTTTCTGCAGATTTCTTTGATAAACGTCTAAAGTCGCTGGTCTATTAAGCTAATTATTTTTTTTTTAAATATATATGATTATATTATTATTATTATACTTATATTAGTTGTATTATACTTGTCTGTGCTATGGTCTTCATCTATCAAACATTGAAACGATTTAAATAATTAATATTGGGGAATAATTGTCGAGTACCGTTTAGAAGTTGTGTTTTTTTGTTTATTTTTGTCGCATGATTTCCTAAAACGAATTTTTTACTGTAAACTAGGTCTACCTATAGGTATATATATTAATATATATGTTACAATATAGAGAGTTGGGTTTGGTACACCCAGTTTACAATAACAATTTCTGTTTTAAAATGTGGTTGAAGCAATACAAATTTATTTGCAGGTTCAATTAAAACCTGAGAGTAAAGATTTAGTGGTACCTAGGGAAAATTGTTGTGTTCAATAGCAAGTACCTACTGATGAGGCAGTCGTGAAAACAAAAATAATCAAAAACCAGTTCACTATCTAATCAACATAGAATATTAAATTAATTATACATAAACAATTTTAAAATACATCCATATTGTATTAATAAACGTTTTTTGCTTTATTTATCACCAAAGGTTTCAGATACAGCTGTAATATTGTTGTCTAGTCACAGGTTTTTTTAATTAAATTTTCAATATAATTTTTAGCGTTCAAAAAAGAAAAAGATAAAGAAAAAGTTTAGCCTTAGTGGTTTGTTTGGAAAATCAAGATAATAATTGGTTTCTTTGTTAAATTTGTTAGAAATAAATATGACCTAATAAAAAGTAGTTTTTTTAATTTGGATTACATTTTGGTAAGTATTATAAAGGGTGTCCCAGGTTTTAGTTGCAAAATTTCACCAAGTTTTTTGGCCAAAAACCTATGCCCAAATATTTCTAAGATACATTTTACCTCCAAAGGAAATACATTACTTGTGGTTCCTAACATTATATCAGGTGAATATTTTTCTTACTTAAATTAGATTTCTTGGTCTATTTACATTTACTTCATTTAAACAAAGCATTATGAATATAGATTCATAGCTCCTAAAACTTGTACACCCTGTATATAAAAATGCTTCTAAATGGTACTCCCACATAAAATTATGTTCCATAAGTGATAGAGAAGACTGCAAGGCAAAACTGGGTTAGATAGATCAATTTTTTTATTTTATTAATATTATCCATTTTGTTGTTACCATAATAAAAAACAATTATAACAATAATTGAAATATTTAATTAACTGTATTTATTTAGGTACGCTATTATTATTACCTCATAACATATTTAATTATTATAATAGCGAATAAATGGAATTGTTTACATAATTAATAATTGGTACAAAATTTATGTGGTTTTGGTAAAAAAATCTTTTAGGCACTTAACACATATTTTTTACTTTCTGTTTTGTTGCTCAATTTCCATTACTTTAAGAATTAATTTACTGTTTCTTGCCTTTACTTAGAGGATTTTTTTATGTATGACTATTGGCGCTATATTACGGATTTGCCTAAAAGATTCCTAATATGCTTTTATTAATTGAATTTGTTTTTTATAATATTATAAAAGCTAATAATGCTCTTCTCGACTGATAAGTGAAGAATAAATGATTAGGTAAAAAAAATACTTATATATGTATTTACTTAATTATTTAGATTTAAAATTGAATATTCACTGTTTTGTTATTGTATGAATAAATGATGTCTTAACGTTTTTTATTTTTATTATTTTACGGAAATTCCTTACATTTCAATCGGTGAGTAATAATTTTATTTAACTAACATTGTGCAATTTTAATTACATGTATACTTACTTAATATTAGTTTTTATTAACCATCTAAAAAACTTTAAGACACTAATATTTTACTTCTCTTACTAACAATTGTGGTGAGAGGATATAATGCATTTTTTCCAAATTTATTAACTATTTTTTCCTGATCTTGTAGTCTTTAAACCATGGTTTGAATATTGTTTTTCTAAAATAATTTTTTGTTTTATACAATGCTTTATTTGCCTATATATTATATTTTAAATAAAGCAAGATATGAAAAAATTAAGAGACCTAGGAATTACATTTATTAATCAAGTTTGTGAGTACATGATCAGGGAATGTAATATTAAAAAAAAAAAACATTAAATAGTGTATTTACTTTAGATATAAATGCATACCAAATTGGCTAATTTATCTTTTTTATTTTAGAAGATAAATTTTAAAAAATACATTCTAATACTGATGATTTTTTGTTAAGGTGTGTAATGTTCCTGTTAAACTTAATTTCGCACTATTTAGTTAAATGCTATTTTTGTATGGCTTTTCTCTAAACATATTTTAATATATGATTTGTCTACAAAAATACGTTTAGGGTACTAAAAGTGTCTTCCCAGTTTTATATAAAGAAAAGATAATAAAACCAAATATACATATAGAAACATAATTATCAATAAATAACCATCTTGAGTTTTTTTATTTGAAATTGGACGTTTTTTCTATTCCAAGTATAAAAACATTTAATGAATTGAATTGTGGACGAATCATATCTTAAAACTCGCAGACTAAACTGAAGTCAGGAACCCCTCCTCTTGAAGGTGCAACGTATGTGTTCATAAATGTAAAAAATCATATAGCTTAGCGTTTTTATAAAGTACCATGTATATTTGTTTAGACGATAAATATGCGGCACAAGTTGCTAAAGCTGAGAATGTTATCCTTTATAGGACTTTAAAAAGTGGCAGTGAATTATAGGTAAATTATTATAAGCATTTCTGTTGTGAATACCTAATACTTACATGTGTTTAGTGGTAGAATTTCATATTATGGCATTTATCTCCATTAAATCATTCTAACTCTTAAGTAAATCTAACAATAAAACTTTGTAACTATATTGTAAGTTAAGTATACATATTCGCTTTGGTGTGTTTATGTAGAATATTGGCTAAATATTAACGAAAACAATCTAGCAATATAAATGTTTTAATAACTATAACTAAAGTAAAATGAAATCAAAAACAACATATTGTGGCATATTATGGAATTTTAGACTAAGAGATTGTGTAGTAATATGAGTCACCACTAGTTTTATAAAGTAATTATAAATAATTGTAAAAATTTTATAAAAGTTTATGTTTAAACCTTGTTTAAAAGCATCAATGGTTTTAAGCATTAACATTTAAATAAATATTTTTTAAATTATAAACTACTATATTTATTCACCCCAAACCAATAAACCCAATAAAAAATAGTGCATTTTTATTAAAAATACTTTATTTACATTATTGTACATTTGATACTGCTTTTTCTTTATTTTCTTCGTCAAAAACAAACCATTTTTTCTTACTTAATAGGAACATCAGCATTATTAGAGGTAAATGAATTAGGGAAAACCTAAACAATTTTCTAGATGATGCGCTGGATGAGTCTTTGTAAAACTGATAAGCTAAAACAAAAAATAACATTGAGACACAATAGATGGTAAAATAAGAAATATTAATACTTAATACTGAAAAAGAATACCTTCAAAATAATACATTAATTAAAATTATACATGTCAAAGAAGTTATTTTTTAAAAATATGTTTGTATAAGATGTTGAATTATTTATTTAGTGTAATTTTTACACATTAATATTTAATTTAATATACGAAATAAAAATGGACCAAATTTAAATGACGCAAATATTAATTTAACTAACAAAATAATATGGAAAATGTTTAAAAATATTCGTCGAGAAAAATATTTAAATGTATCAAAAAAAATGCGTGTCAAATTAAAATGTATCATACAAAATAATTATTATTATGCCTAGACATAATAATAATAATAAATCTGTTCATAATTAAAATTATAAAAAAAATATATAATTCATAATTTTAAAAAATCGACTTCAATTTTCTTTTACATTTAAAACATTTACGATTAAAAAGTAAAATGGCGTGCCATAGAGATATAAAAAGAAATAATCCATTTATTTATATTATTAAACTTTTAAATTTGTGCCCCTATTGTATGTGTACTATAGATCAAATGAGGCCATTATTTGTAAAAGTCTCTAATTAAAAATCACTTTTATCGCTAATTTCATTAGATTTTTGTTGCCACCTTTAAAACGTTTCAAAACTGCTTCTTTGATACAGTGTGACCCATTTGTTTGCGACACCCCTGTAAAATCTTTATTTATTGTGCGATTTTAACCGGATTTGTTTTAAACTGTATTTCTTGATAAACTGTATTTTTGAAGCAAAAAACGACATATTTTTACAAAATACAAGGCCTACTATGTCAGTTTTTAAGAGTAAATTTCTAAGAATTTATATTAGCGATTTTTTTAAACAAAATCTAAGCACGGCATTGTATTCACCACCCCTCAAAACTACCCTAAACTAAATTTTATTAAAAAATTTTAAGAAAAAAAATGCAGAATAATAACTACAAAAATTTATTTTGTCAAGTTATCCATGAAAAAACATTGAAATAAAATTAAACTTATAGTAATAGTACCATGTTAATATTAGTTTAATTTTATTTCAATGTTTTTTTCATGGATAACTTGACAAAATAAATTGTTGTAGTTATTTTTGTGCATTTTCAATAAAATTTAGTATAGGATAGTTTTGAGGGGTGGTGAATCCAGTGCCGTGCTTATATTTTGTTTAAAAAAATCGCTAATATGAATTCTTAAAAATTTACTCTTAAAAACTGACATAGTAGGCCTTGTATTTTGTATTAATATGACGTCTTTTGCTTCAAAAATACAGTTTATCAAGATCTACACTTTAAAACAAATCCGGTTAAAATCGCACAATAAATAAAGATTTTACAGGGGGGCAATTCCATGATAACTCACGGTACATTCAGATGAAAGAAATAAAATTTAACTTGGTATACCAGAATACCTATATTTATTAGGAATGTATAAAATGTTTAAACTTTAAATGATAGGCCAATGTACATTTTTAACATTTTTGAATAAGTTCACCAATTGATCTCTAGACAAAATGCAGACAAAACGTGTGATAACTCATGGGACACGAAAAACTTTCTTTAAAAAATTGGTTAAATGAAGCAACCTTTTTCTCTGAATCCTAAACTGTATGAAACATAATCTTATTTTAAAAATATACTTTGCCTATAGTGTATTAAAAAAACATTCAACTTAACTGCTTTGATTGTGTGAGGTTTTAAAAAAATTGGTTAATATGATAACTCATGGGACATAACATATTTTTAGTGCAGAATTCAAAAGCAGTTAAGACTTTTTAATTATTTAAAATTTTATGGAATATTGGGTTAAATAAATAAAGTAATAATTTTCTAGGCACATCCCAGGTAGCACACTGACGTCTGCTGACGTTTATATGACGTTGAAATGACGTTGCTAACGTCATTTAAACGTCAGAAGACGTTATATAAACGTCAGTGTGCTACCTGGGATGTAGACATGTATGCTCCTAGTTTAATTACATTTGGAACATTTCGATTGATATTAATTTGAAGAAAATTACGCTATTACGCATGGAATTGCCCAGGGGTGAGTCGCAAACAAATGGGTCACACTGTATATAAAATTGGTTACAAAGTCATCAGTTATTCTTTCTCTTTACATCCATTTAGCCAGTTGAAGTGCTAAGCAAGTTTAAGGGGGATAAAACTGCCATTATTGGTTTACTGGTTAAACATTATGGCGAAGATTGGATTAAACTACCAGAATTAGCCTTCTGCAAAATTATTCAAATAATTTTTAAGTTTTTTTCGTTTTCATACTAATTTTGGTTTGTGTCCCAAAAACCTTTTTAATGTTACAATATTAACGTTTACTTTTACTATGTTTACCTTATTTTTTTTTAAATGTCTTTTTCCAAAAAACATTTTTTTTTTCTGAAAAACTATAGGAGATTCATGTTTACCATTATCATATTTATTAGCCATAAATTTAATAAAAAATTGAACCGAAAAAATAATTTGCGTTGAGAGTTTTTTGTTGCTCCTGAAAAGTAAACCAAATAGCAGAGAGAGAGTTTTGCCAATAATGGCCTCATATCAAATAAGACTAAGAAACTCACCTAAATAAATAAAGTAGGCGTTGATAGGCGTGCTTCCGGCCAAAAACCACCAATTGGTGACATCTAGTACGGGCGCGGCGGTGCTAAACAGCTGCAAAGCGATCGTGTGTCTCAGAGCCACCTTCCTGCACAGTGCGGGATGCGTGACGGCCATCATGCGGTAGCCGGCGCGCGAATAATCGGGCCTAAGGTTCCACGAGAGGGCGTTGAAGTGCGGGAACTGCCAGGAGTAGAGCAGGGCTGCCATCAGCCACGCGCCGGGGCCCAAAGTTCCCGCGCAGGCGGACCAGCCCATCAGCGGGGGAATGGCGCCGACTAAAAGTTTACTTTAATGAAATTTGCTATTTTAAATACAAATTTCTTAATTTCTTTAAGAAACTTTCTTGACCCATTACTGGTAATATTCATCAGAAAAAATTCAACCTACAACTCGACAAAGTCGGGCAACTTGCTTATATGCTCGGTTGGTAAGCCAACAGAGGCGAGATGTACTCTCTAAAAGTGAAAGAATGAAATGTTCACTATTTCCGTCAGTGAGTTATTAATCACTGTAAAATTAGTGTTTTTCAATATAAATTAGTGAAATTTTAACTTCTCCAAATTAGTGTTTTTTATTATCACTACTTTTCCGGAACTCTCGACATAAAATAGTGAAATTTTAACTTTTTTGAACTTAGTTATCATAACTAGTAAACCTATTTCACAAATTTGTACAGTGTAATTTCCACTAAATAAATTATTGCAAAGAAATCGCTACATGAAAAAGTGAGTATTCACTAATTGCTAGTGGTATACTTATCACTGCGGCAAATAGTTAATATGCACTGTCAATCAGTGAAAATCCACTGTTTCATTTTTAGAGAGTAAGAACATCAAAACAAAAAACTTTGGCGAGGTGTAGTTTTAATTTTTTCTTACAAATGTTATGTTTAAAGTCGTGTTGAGACGCCAAATGTTCACTTTTTTAAACAAAGCGTGGTTTCTTCAGCTAACAAAGTTAGCTCCGCCCCTCTGCACGGTGGGCTGGGCCTGGCCAAAAGTAAAAAAAGTCAAATTTATGTCAACAAATAGTTTTTAAATAAATCTAAGATTCTGTCCAACTGTCAATGATCCACCTTTTTAGATTTACTTGGATAATGAGGTGCTCAAGGAAAACAAAAATGTTAAATCATTTTGACTGCTCACTTATTTCCTACAAATCAATAAAAATCCCAAAACATGTCCTGTGTCTTACAGCCCAGAGCCCCATGATAATGCCAATTTATTCATTTAAAAAAAATGTTGCTTGGAAAAATAGTTTAATCTCTAGAGGAATTTTTTAGCCATATATATTAATTGTGAATGTTAGTACTATTCAATTGTTCTAGTTTTGGATTTATTTATTATAATATTTTTGTATACCATTTACATATAGACACACATGTACATGTAAATGTCTTTTTGGAAATAAAATTATTATTATTATTTATAAAAATAATACACCAATGTAAAGAAAAAACCTTAATTTGTTATATTTCTAAAAAAAAAGTTAAAAAACACTTTATTTAAAAAAGATACAGCTCTTAAAGTAAAGCAATACAGAAAAAATTCAGATTTTAGATTTTAACGGAATTTTCTCTGCCTTTAAGGCGCTGCTAGTTTTATACATAAAAAAAATATAAAAAAATTAGGTTCAAAATAATTAAAAGATGTATGTAATACGATATTGTAAGTTATGTAAAATTATTTTATTAATAAGTTGTATTAAATAATATAATTATTACCTTGTAAAATCATCATCAAATTTTGATACATATTTTGACACCTAAGAAAGTTTTAGTGGTTTATAAAAGGCCGCGCGCTAAGAATTTTTTATTTAATCTTAACTATAATAAATATAATATATTATATCATATTATGATCTATTGTTATTTTTTTATTATTACATAAAAAATCATTTAATAATAAATTTTGTTATAAACATTTTCTTTGTTTTAAATAAATTATTAGTTTCTTAAAACAAATCATGTAGCTATTTGTAATCCTTTACATTTTACTACCTTGAGGTAAAAATAGTTTACTGTAATAAAAACTTAATGATAATACTTTAAGGTAATGTACCTTTTTTGTATATTTTTATTTTTCACAAATGAATAAATAAAATCTGACATCTGTCAAATCGTTAACCTTACTTTTTACCAATTTAAAATGTTATTATAGTCGCCTATTCCCAATTTAAAACCCGATTGGTTCAAATCACAGTGAATATTTAATCGGCCAATCACTGATGCCCAACAACGTGAATAATGAATTCATTATTTACGTTTTTAGGCAGGGAATTTATAATGTTTTCACCGAAAAAAACTAATATTAAATATTATGCAATAGAAGAAAATAAAAATATATTTTAAGGGCAGAGTAATTGTTTTTCTAAAAAGTATAATAAAAAAAATTAAGTTTCGCTCCATATAAAAATATTTAATAGGCATAAACCATTTTTACGTTTATTAATAAGAGCAAAATTATTACTTTTCTATAAAGTGTAATAAAAAAATGCAATTTTTTAAGTTTAACGCCTTATAAAAAAAAGCCTATTTATTTCTGAATAAAATGAAAAAAAAACAAGGCTTTAGGTCAATTAGTAAGGTAAAAAATTAGTTTTGACCAGAAAAGTGGCATTCCAGCCCACCGTGCTTAATATAATCAATAAAAGTTGGCAAAACAAGATAAAATTGTCATTTTTATCACACATAACACAAATACAAACTAAATTAAAAAAGTATAATTTTTTTACCTATGGATCCAACCCAAGTATTTAAAATGCTGACTCTTTTCATAGGTGTATAAACTGAGGTATACAACAATAAATTAGTCAGCCCTAGACCAGCCGTCAATCCATTCACTCCATAGTAAAGTATACTTAGTCCGGTGGCACTGGCACCAGCAGCAAATAACATAGAATGTAAAGGGCTAAAATGATATTTACTCCACAAAAAACACAAAAAATATTTATATTACTCACGTAAGTCTTCCACAGACAATCACCCTATGTTTGGTTCTGGACATTTGTGCATCAAACGGCACTTCGTGAAACTGATTGACTGCATTGGCAGCACCTGACAATAAACCAGTACCAGCGATGCACAGTGCAAACGTGGACCATTCAAAAGGTGCTGGTGCTACCGCATAGCCAGCCATTGAAGTGACAACAACCAAGGCTAAAAAAATAAAACTGTTTCAAAACTATCTACTAAATTCAAAATTCTCACTTGTTAGTCGTATTTTGGACAGTTTTAAATAATGCTGGATCAAATTTGACCTGTCTGTGGAGGGTGTGGGCATCCATGCTGGGACCTTAGTTGGTTTGTCGGGCAAATTCTTTAAATCTTGTTCGTTCAAGTTTATGGACGTTGTGGTTGCTGAAGGTTTTGATTGGTTAACATACTGTGCAATCGGAATCGTAAAATTAACATATTTCTAAAATATTATTATTATTAACCTACTAATAATCTAAAATATTTAATCTACCTTGAGGATAAGATTTGTTTGAGTTGCCACATTCCCTACGGATTGTCCTTTGCACAAATTAACTTGAAGCTGTATTATTTTTAACATTATACTTAAATTATTTACAATTAACACATTTTCACTTAATTTAAGTCCAAAATTTCTTGTTTTTGAGTTTCATAACAGTTTCATTACAGTGAGGTTAGGCGAAATGTGACACTTGAATGTCACTATTTTTGATCCAATGCAAACATCGAATTATCATTGGTTCAAATGTAATCTGGGTTGCATAGTGACAAGATAAGTCATATTTGTGGTGTCGTTCGTGTTACTAACTTAAATTTTATGAATGTACGGGGGCTTAGCAATTTGCTTGTAAAGTTTTCAGAGAAGTAATTAATTAATAAACACGGCTTTTAATTTAAAAATTACACTTAACTACGGTTTCGCGAAAGGATCGAACGGTCGATTTGCAAGGGTTCAAGAAATCGATTGAAACTTTTTTACCTTATTTCTACATCTTAATGCAGTACTTTTTTCAAAAAAAAAATCTCGTCCATTGACAACTTTGTTTTTATTTTAATTTTTTTCTTCGCTGTGTTAAAAATGAAGAAATTTCATTTTTTTTAAATAACTTTTTTATTTCAAAACGTATCGATTTGAAATTTGGACAAAATGTAGATCTTACTAATGACAATTAATCCATGAAAAAATTTTGTTTAGATTATAACGTACAGGGGGCGCTGGTAATAATTTAGTTTAAAATTTAACAATTTTTAAAGGGTAAATAATCGAAGAAGCAACTTTGTTTTATAAATTTGAGTATAGCACGTGAAAGTATTGATATTTGACTATTATTTGATATATTAACTTTTTTATGCAAATGATGTTTCTGTGGCCAGGATCAGTTTTGAATTAGCAGTAGCAGTATTCATAAATGCTTAGTTTAGTACATTTTGTCATTTTTATACAAATATTGTATGTCTTTTATTAATAATTAAGTAAAGCATAACACATAAATGACGTTTAATATACAGGGTGTTTCACGTACTTAGTCCGTTGAAAGTTTCTACACCGAGAGAAATAGTCTGGGTATAGTTAAAAAATGATTTGTTTTAATATATTTGGTAAAATATAATAAATAATTCTTCTATATACCAAATCAGCACTTCTTAGTAACTATATTCAGAATTACTTAAGTTTATTTTGAAAAAATGATTTGGTTCACTGTATTTGGTTATAAAAAACAAATATAGTTTAATAATAACAAACCATTTTTAAATAGAGTTTGTATGAATAAATCAAGTTGTTGCTTGCTTATAAAAAACAAATGCAGGATAAAACACGTTGATTATTCGCCGTAGATGCTTTAGTTCGGCCATTGTGTTAGTTTGTGCAAAGGGAGTGGACGCGTCCGGACGTGCTGTATAGTTTATACCTAAATTAGGTAAATATGGATACATTTTTGATTGAAAATAATTTAACAGAGTTAAGTTCCTCATTTAAAGGTAAAATAATATTTTTCTAAATTTGTAAATGAAATAAAAAGGCTGCCATCACCTCCCAAAATTTAATTAGTTATGTTTTTTAAGTTTAAGAATTTTAAATTAAGATGTTTAGTTTACTTAAGTTTAAGATGTTTAGTTTACTTTACCAAAAAAAAAAGTTTTTGTTTGCAAACATGTTTTTTAAGGAAAATGTTTTTTATTTTTTATTAAAATAAAATGTATTGTTATCAATGGCCGAGTGTTATTTAATATAGAAAACCATAATTTTTATAAAAACGCTAAATTATAAAAATAAATGTTTTGTTTTAATAATACAGGGTGTTTCAGACTTGTCGTGCCAAAAGCTCGGAGGAGATTCCTCTCATCAAAATATGAAAAAAAAGTTCCTATGAACAAGTGTCCGAAAATGCTTCGTTACCGAGATACAGGGTGTTTTATTAAAAAAAAAAGTTTAAATTTGATACTTTTTTGTTACAAAAATAATCATAATAATGTATAAAAAAGTGTTTTTAAGCTATAAATAAAAAACTCAATTAAAAAAAAAACAAACACCCTGTATCTCGGAAACGAATCATTTTCGGACACATGTTCATAAAAACTTTTTTTCATACTTGAGAGGAATCTCCCCTGAGCTTTTGGCACCACAAGTCTAAAATACCCTGTATATTACTTATTTTTTAAAACAAAACGATTTGTTAACAAAAAAAGATCATTTGTTTTTTTATAAATAAATATATTTTTTTTAAATAAAAATTTGATTCTTATAAATAAATAACTTATTTATTACGACTAATTGGTTTGGTTTTAATAACCAAAAACAAATTATTAAGTAAATATGACCAAATGTCTTGAAGCTAATCATTTGTTTTTAATAACGTAGCCGTTTGTAAGTCAAATACTGAATAAAGCATTTGGTTATAAAAATGCAGATTTGGTAATAAAAACCATTTTTTTCTCTCAGTGTAGGTAATCGCGAGACATCGATTTAAAATTTTAATAGCGTAAAGTATTCGCTTTCCTAAATTATTTTAAACAAAATAATACTTCCTGTTTTACCGGAATACCTCATATATTTTTACATTATTTAATTCTACATAAAATTCTGAGTAAAATGGCTATACCATATCCTATACCTAAAGTCAATATTTTTTGAGTTATTATTTTTTCAATCAAATATTTTTATTAATTTTAAACAATGACAGATTTGGTGGTAACCATGGATACTGTTACATTAAACCACATGTAGAATTTCAGAGGTTTGTTGATACAAAATAGTATTGAATATTAGAAATTGTTAAATGTCTCTGAAATTTTAACTTTAGGAAAGAGTTACTATAATACCAATCGAAAGATTCTTTAATGTTTTATTTGATTATGTTAAAACATACAGGGTTTTACATTTATAATAAAAACGTTGTTATTGTTTGAAGTTTGCCTAATTTCAAGTGGTTTTTCTCAAGGTATTTGTTGAAAAACCTTTAAAAAACTAAACAATGTTTTAATATTCCAAAAATTCCAACCCCATGTCAACAAACATAATAACAAACAAATTAGAGGCTATTTGGATTAACGTGCATTTTAACGAAAAAAATTAATATCTTGAAAACTATTGACTTTATGTATAGTCTAAATATATTCTATTAAAATTTCAAATCCATACCGTTTGCGTTTCTCCAGAAACACCCTGTATAGCATTATATTAAATATAAAAAAATGCAAAATAACTAATTACAAAAAATCGAAAAACAAATGAATAAAAATATAGTTATATCTAAATAGCCGATTGCAACATAAAAAGTCTTTATTCTAATTTATTTATTGGGTAAATATTACTTTCCTTAGTTAGGAATTAAAATTGAAGCTTGTTTATTGAGTAAAACATAAATTGAAGCTTGGTTGTGGAGCAAAAAATAAAATTAAAGTAGGTTATAATTTCTAACTTGCTGATACTGTCTATAATTATTATTTAGTGTATTCATTTTAATAAATTAATATTTTAAGTTTATAGTACACTTATAAATTGAAACGCAATCAGTCATTTGCAACTTATAAACTGAACTGTTAAATTATTTTTCATGCTTCCAATGGTAGGTTACCATAGAGATAAGTCTGTGATGCCTACTATGATCAAAATTAGTAAACTTAAAAAAATTTAAAATTTATAAATAAAACTAATTTTAGCTCCATCTATGGCGATTTTTTTAAATAAATATGTAAGAATTGTATGTTATATATAAAATATTGTATGTAATATATAATACATTATCTTATAAAACTAGTTAAAACAATTTATAATTTGTAAAACACGTTAGTATTACGCTCTTTGAAGGCTTAACTTAAAAATGGTGTCTCTCGTAGAAACATAATTTGCATTTAGAAGTTTATATATCAAATAATAGTTAATTATCAGTACTTTAACGTGATATACTCAAAATTATAAAACAACGTTGCTTCTTCGACTTTTTAACCCTTAAAAAATGGTAAAATTTTAAATTAAATTGTCCACCGTGTCCCCTGTATATTAAAATCTAAAAAAAATAATACGTGGATTTATTGCCACTAATAAGGTCTACATTTTATCTTAATTTCAAATCGATACGTTTTTAAATAAAAATGTTATTACAAAATATCGAAATTTATCTATTTTTAACACAGTAGAGTGACTTAAGGCCTGAAAACCACAGGGGTCAATGGATGAAATTTTTTTTTTGAAAAAAAAGTACCATTTAGATGTACAAACAAGTTAACAAAAATATATTCAATTCTGGCATCACTTGCAAACAAATGTCCAAAATTTGTTCGATTTTTACGCGAAACCATAGTTAAAATATAAGGAGTGTAAGTTACAAAGTGCCAATTCATATATTGCTGGCAGTATCAATGTGTATAGCATAAAATCTATTTTTTTACATGTATACTTAACTAAAAATATTTGAATTGGCACTTGGACCCTTTGTTAATTATGCTCTTTATTTGTCAAAAAGGTATAATCAAAAGGGGAAGAAGAAGACTGTCAAATGTCAGTTAATTGACGTTACTTTGTGAAGAACACTTCTTTGATACATAGAAAAAGATACCTATATAAAATATGATGTGACTTACCTGGTAAAAAACTATTATTAACTAAAAAATACTAGGGTAAGTGCGTTTTTGTTTTTATTATAAATAGTACGTTATAGTATTATAAATAGTACGTTATAGTCATATATGTTACTCAGTGATGGATATATGATTAAGTATAGTGTTCGCTATTTTTTTAAGTGGTAATAATTTTATTAGATTGGAATTTTTGGACATTTTGTCATCCTGTCGTTTAAGATTATAAGTTATAAATAATAAATCATGTTTATAGGTTATTAATAAATTCATACACATAACTTATGTGTATGAATTTATTCTACAATGTAGAATCTACAGTGACCTGTAATTTTACAGGTACCTACACTGATTTCGAGCTAAATGCAATAGATAGAACCACTCTTAATATGTAACTACAATCTATTTTCCTTACTTTACTGCTGTGTAATGACGATATTACTGGCTCATTATACCATAACACTTTTATTCTGTTTGCGGCAACATAATTTGGGTAGCTGAATAATGTACCTAATTAATAACAGTTTTTTATGGATTTTGCAGTCAATATTAAATTTTTTAACAATGTCAGAGAGATATTTTTCTTTGTTCTAAAAACAAACAACCAAAGGCAAATTGGGATTTAAGT